TCACGGAGTTTGGTGCGGGAGAGGACACGGGCTGCAGAGTTCTGGATGATCTGCAGCTGTGGAGGGAGGAGTTGGGGAGGCCGACACGCAGGGAGTTTGCATAGTCAAACCTGGATGTTATGAAGTCATGTATGAGGGTTTTGGGGCCCTGCGGCGTGAGACAGCGGCGGAGCCGGCGATGTTGTGGAGGTGGGCAGTGCTCTTACAGGCCATAAAACATAGGAACAGGAGTAGGCCATTCAGTCCCTCGAGCCTGTTCTGCCATTCTATAAGATCATGGCTGTTCTGTACCTCAAGTCCAGTTACTCGCCCTCACCCCATATGCCTTGATCTCCTGACCTAATAAATATAAAACACCATGTAATCTTTTTGTTTACAATTATTGTGTTTCATATATCAGCTTATTACGGTTCAAATGTCTAAAAAAAAGCCTTTCGCAGGATTACACTGTAATATATAGTGTCATGTATATTTGTAGCAGAATTTGACAGTCAATACGCACAAAAAAGGGCTGATAAACGGCCATTAAGTAGGCAACTGGCTATAAAAAATTCAAGATAAATAGTAAAAAAAAGTGAGAGCAATATGAGCAAGTGCGGTTAGTTGGTCGATTGACGATTGATTGGTCAATTATAAAACGGTGCCCTGTAACCCTTTTTCCTCGTTTAATCCGGTGTGAAACCACTGAAGCCAGTGTTGGCTGAAGTTGACGCCCAGTTCATCACAGAGATACTGCTCCAAACCCAGGGGCGTGTGGCACGTTTACTTGACCAGCTCTGCTAGTTCCGAAATAATGTTCTGAAGATTATGTATAAAACACAGTGCCTGTGATTGGCGTTGCCCTGTATCTGCACCGCAATGTTAATTGGGGATTTTGACCACCTTGAGGGTTAAGAACATAAGGATTTGCCAGCGAGCGAAAGAAGACCAAGGTCCCATCTGGTTTGCCTTCCACGTCCTGGCAGTCGGTTGACATGCCCTGTCCCAAACTATATATTTACCCGCAAAACAACAACAACAACTTGCGTTTATATAGCACCCCTCAGGCAAAACAGTCACTCCACTCCTATGAAGTCCTTTTCAAGACTTCCTCCTGACAAAAGGGTTGGAGAAAATGAGAAAGTTGCGCTGGGGGTACTGAACACCTGAGGGACAGAGGAGAACCTGTGGCTCTTAAGTATTTTGGGTAATGAGCAAAGTTTGAATCCACTGTTAATGCCTTCGATGTTAATATTGCGTTTTATTGGGCTCCTATAATGTTAAGTGTCTTGGATTATATTCACTGGTATTCTGCTTAATTTTGTGAGATTTCTGCCCAATGTATCTTTCAACTAAAGAACTCAAGTGACTGCAATATGTAAATAGACAGACCGTAAGATCAAGCTGGGTATTAATGTTAATATTGCGGGAGTGGAGAAGTGGCACTAAAGTACTGGTCAGATCTGCAGGAAACCTCTCTCTCTCTCTCTCTGTCATCCAATTCCCTCTGCTGATGATGTGACGGGCTTGTACACCAGCAAGAGTGAACCGTTGGTCGGAGGAGGTAAAAATAAGAATATTGTGGTGAAGTAACGAGGTCTGGTCTTGGGAGTAAAACTGATTTCACACAATAGAGGATAATAGAACTGCAATCGAAATGTTAAAATGGAATAAAAGATCAGTTTGTCTTTAGCAGCTGATGCTCACAGTGTGCCCATGTTCAATTCTCTCCCAACAACAACAACTTGTATTTATATAGTGCCCTTCACATGGGGTAGCATCCACTTGACAGTGGCGGAGTCTAACCCCGAGCCAGGGGGAGTGGGAGGGGGGAGATGATCTCAAGCACGATCAAAAAGGAAGGTCTTTAGGTGGGATTTGAAGGTGGGGAGAGAGGGGCCATGGGGGGGGGATTGAGGGAGAGAGTTACAGAGTCTCGGGGCGTAGAGGGTGAAGGCACGGCCACCGATGGTGAGCGGTGGGGACAAGGGACAAATGGGAGGCTGGAGCCAGCCGAGCGGAGTCAGCGAGTGGTGGAGTGGGGGGGTAAGCAGATCGGAAAGGTAGGGAGGTGCCAGGGAATGAAGGGATTTGAAAACGAGTGAGAGGATCCCTAAAATAACAAGGGTACCAAAGAAGAGGTAGTAATCCTTGCATTTGGGATAGCGCCTTTCACACCGGGAGGAAGACTTCAAAGCATTTCGTAGGATATACTGTGAAGGGTCTGTTTTGTGGGCGAACATGGCAGCCAATTGTCGAGCAAACAGCCATGGAGTGGCTGAATGATCAGTTGGTTTGTGGGATTCATGACCAAGAAGTAGAGCACTGAGCAAAGTGGAATTCTCTTCCTGTGTTTTCACATTGTTGCTACCCCTGGAATGAACCTTGAATGTGGTACAGTCAATAAACTTTCTCTTTTCTTCCTCGCCCCCTCCCCCCCCAGACATTTATCCGTTTTGACATTATCCTCTTTAATATTTTGTCATCTCGGTGGAACACCATTGAACCAGCCAGTTCTAATTTGAACGGTCCCTGTACCAAACTCCGCAAAATATACAGTCAACTCACTTATATATATATATCCTGTGAAGCGCTTTGAGACGTCTCGAGGAGGTGATAAAGCGCTGTATCAAATGCACGGATTATTTATGATTATAATCACTCACAAAATTAACCAAGTTAATGGACCTCCCGACGTGGTGAAAGGCGCTGTACAAATATAAGTTGTTGTTGAGTTGCAGGATAAGATCCCTGTGAAAGCTTCTAACTAATTGTGGAAATATTCAGTGTTCAGCACTACCATTTTTTTCTCTCTCTCTCTCTCTCCTAACAGGTGGAAATGATCATAACTGTGACCTTGTCCAACTAGTAGTTGGATATGAGAATCCCGAGGTCATGGATCACTGTGAACAAGGAGTGTTTTGCACTGATGTGGACCAACGTGAAAGAAAATGTAATTACTTTCTGTGCAATAGGTTTGAGCCGCAAATAGCCAATGATGGGTTGCTTTCTGTATTGGCCAATAAAATGCAAAGAACAATTGGAGTTTCTGACCCCAATTCTGAAGAAAGCATCACTTCCAAAATTCAAGGGGATAAAACAAAAGTGCCCACACCACTTATGACCGGTGCCAAGGCACTTGCACAAAGGGAGGAAGCCAAAGAGATGAATGTCGGAGGCGTTCTTACCAGTCAGCTGCATGCAGAGAAAGAGATGGCTATGGTATATCCAGATAGCTCAATGCTTGCAGATAATCAGTTGGTCAAAGATGTGCCTTTAGAAGGTGTAATAACCAGGGAGGTAGCTGAATGGATGCCTCCATATACCACAATAGCCAGCAGATCTTGTGCTGAGAATGAGTTGACCAGTGAATTGGTTCGAGATCATGTAACAGCCAATGTAACTCTTGCACAGAATTCATTGGACAGTGACTTGTTTGCAGGGGCAAAGTGACTGGAGGAATTCTGACTTGTGATGAGGCAGGAAATAGGTTTCCTGAAGTTCCCACAGATACAGCAATCATTGAGGTGGGAAACTTGGTGCCTTCAGAAACTTCACCGAACAACGGGGCACTTGTAGAGCACAGATTAGCCGAGCCACCAGCAGTTACCACAGTGTCTGGCGACATGTTTGCAAATATTGAGATAGCAAAGATGGAGCCTTTAGAAGGTGTGAGAACCAACTATCAGCTCACAGGAAGCAAACTGTCTGCCGTACCTCTGGATCCTGGAGCAATTGTTAAAATGTCTGCCAAGGGTGAAGGAGTCATTGAAGTGCCTGGAGAAGGCGTACCTACCAGTGAAGTGTTTACAGTGGGCCTGTTGCCTGTGGTGCATGTAGATGATAAAGCAACTATGGCAGTGCCCATGGAGGGTGAAATTGCCAATCAAGTGCCGGTGGAAAGTACGAAAATCAGTGGATTGTTTGCAGAGAATGGCTTGTCCAAGATATTTCAAGAACTGAACCTGTCTGTCGAGGTGTCTGCAGAATGTGAGAAAACCAGTGCAGTGACTGAAGAAATTGTGCTGTCCAGTGTGATGGTTTCTGTACCGAAAGATATTGCTGTACCTGTCGAGATGTCTACAGATGAGGGTGTGATAGGTAAAGAGCTTGGAGACATTGCAATAATCAATGGGATAGGTGCAGAGTGTCCATTTACTGCAGCTGCCACCAAGGTGCCTGCAGAGTGTGAGAGCGCCACCAAAATAGACGTCGTGATAAATAGTGGGATGACCGAGGAAAAGCCTTCAGAAACAACAGCAGCTAAACGGACGTCTGCTGGGTGTGAGGTAACAACCGAAATGTCTAGAGAAGTTGAGAAGACCTCTATGCATCCAAGTATTGAAGTCACCATGAAGATATTTGCAGATGGTGTGTTAGCAAATAAAACAGCCAGAGAGCCTATAACAACGAATGAGGTGACTGAAGTTCCTACAGATATTACACCAACGATGGAGATATCAGCAGAAGATGAGAAGGTTAAGGATGTGTCTGGAGAAAATGTGGCAACCGATATGATTGCTTCTTTGCATCCATGTGTTCCCCTACTTATGGAAATATCTGCAGGTGAGATAACCAGTGATGGATCTGCAGAAGACTTAACCACCAATGAGATGCCTACGAAGATGTCCGTAGAGGATAAAGCCGTCGTTGAGAATGAAGGACTGAAAAACAACATGATCTCTTCTGTACCTCCCGACAATACAACTATTGTGGTTTCTTCAGACCATGAGATGCTCGCTGAGCTTCCTGGAGAATGTATGAAAATCAGTGAGAATACTGAGGTACCCTCAGATGTTTTGACACCAATGGAGAATATTTCAGAATGTGAGATATTTACTGAGCTTCCCAGAGCAGTTGTGACAACCAGTGAGTTTGCTGAGGAACCTCTAGATGTTCCAGTCGCAATGGAGATATCTGCAGACTGTATGATACCTAATAAAGTGTCTGAAGAAGTTGAGACAACCAATGCAGTAGTTTCTGTATATCCAGATAAAACCGTCAATGATGTGCTGGGAGAAAGTGTGGCAATCAATGAGGTGGTTCAGGAGGCTCCAGAATCAACAGCTACTAATGAGATGTCTGTAGACAATGAGATATTTGCTGGACTGTCTGGTGGAGGTGTATCAAACGGGGATACAGCAAAAACCTTGAGAATATCTGCAAACTTGATAGTTAATGAAGTGGCCGATGTTGGGACAACCAGTGGGGTGACTAATGTGTCTCCTAATACAATTGCGGAGAAATCTGAAGAGCGTGAGATAATTTGTGATGAGTTCAGAGAAAGTGTGACATCCAGTATGACTGAGGAGCCTCCAACAACAGCTATGGACATACCTTCAGATGTACTCACTGAACTATCTAGAGATGTGATGACCAGTGGGGTGGCTGAAGTGCCTCTTCATACTGCAATGACCTTGGAGATGACTGGAGAGGTAGGGCTGACCAAGAAAGAGTTTGGAGAAGGTTTGACCACAAATGTGCAGGTTTCTGTACATCCAGTGTTTGCAGTCACTAAGGAGATGACTGCGATAACTCCAGACACAACAGAAATTGTGCAGATTTCTTCATACGCCAAGTCTGGAGAAGATGTTGCAACCAATGGGATGACTGAAGTACCTTTGGATCCTGCAACCAGAGAGAGTGAAATAGCTAATGTTTCTGAAGCAGGTGGAACAACCCATAGGGTGGCTGATGTATCTCTAGGCCCAGCAACTATGGACACTTCCGCAGAATGTTTGACAGCAAATTTAATGTCTGGAAAAGCCGATGGAATAGCTAATAGACCTCCAGACACAACGCCAATTGAGGAGATGTCTGAAATTGTTGAACTTTGTGGCAAAACAATGCTGATCGGTGAGATCCCAGAGGTCCCGACAGATGTATCTGCATCCTTGGGAAGGTCCTCAGAAATTGTGATGACTGAATTACCTGATGAATGTTCAGACACCAGAGCGACTACAGATAGCTGTGAAGGCACGACTACTACGGAGATTTCTTCAGATGGTATCGTCATCGCTGAATCATTTGGAGAATGTGTGACAAGTACAGTGACTGACGGAACTCCATATGCTCCAGTAACTACGGTGATATCTGCAGGAAGTGTGATGGTTGATCATATGTCTGAAGAAGTTGAGGGAATGAATGCACTGGCTTTCATTCCTTCAGACACATTTACCGGGGACATGTCTGCAGGGTGTGTAATACCCAATGAGATGTCTGGAGAAGTTGGGACAACTGATGGGGCACCACAGATGACACCAGGCACTGCGGCAAGATTACAGATGTCTGCAGAGGGCTATGTATCCAATAAAGCTGCTGGGGAAGATACAATTACCAATGAGGTGGCTGAGTTACTTCCAGATTCAGCTGTGTCTGCGATAGCCAAAGACTCCCTTGGAAATAATGTCACGACCAGTCTGCTGGCTGGGGTGCCTTCAGATGCTACAGCAACTATGGACATGTCTCCGGAAGGTGAGAGAGCAACTGAGGTGTCTGGAGAAAATGTGGCAACCAGTCGGGTGACTGAGGCACTACCAGACATGACAACGACTATGAAGACAACTGTAGTAGGTGGAATAGCCACCGATGTGTCTGAAAATGAGGTGGTGACCAATGCGATGCCTGAGGTACCTCAAGGTCCTACAGCATTTGTAGGTCTCTCTGGAGGGGGTGGAACAGGCAATGAGGTCTCTGAAGTAGGTGGGGTAGACATTGAGGAGTCTGGAGAAGATGTGACCACAATTGTGGTATCTGAGGTGTTACCAGATTCAGGAGTGACCTCGGTGAAGTCTGCAGAGTGTGTAATAGCCACTGAGATGGTTTCTGTATATCTAGATATACCCAGATCTGGACCGGGTGTGGTCGCTGATGTAGTATCTATAGAAACTGAGACGAAAAAAGAAGTGGCTGAAATACCTCGAGATACTACAACATGTGGGGAGGTGTTAGCAAAGGGTGACATACTCAATGAAGACTCTGGAGAAGATGTGGGATCCAATGGTTTGGCAAAGTTGCTTCTAGGTACAACAGGAGCTTTGGACACATCTGTAGAGTGTGAAATGTCTGGGGAAGGTTTGACCAGTGAGATGAAAGAGGTAACTCCAGCTATTACAGCTTCTATGGAGATTTCTTCTGACCTGTCTGGAGAGTCTGTGACAGCCATTGGGATCACTGAAGTAGCTCCAAGTACAATAGAAATTATGGAGACGGCTGTAGATGATAAGATAATTAATCACGTTCCTGCAGAAGATGTGAGAGCCAATGGAATGGCAGAGGTGCATCTGCAGCCAACAACGACTATGGAGATGTTTGCAGAGGGTGAGATAGTCAGTGATGTCTCTGGAGAAAGAGTAACAATCAATGAGATGATTGAGTTACCGACAGCCATTGCAGCAGCTATGGAAGTTTCCTCCTATCCTGTGGCTCTCTCTGACCTGTCTGGGGAAGGTATGACAATCTGTAGGGTGACTGAGGCTCCTCCAGACACAACAAGAATTATGGAGATGGTCGCAGAGGACGAGATGGCCACTGAAGCCTCTGGAGAAGGCGACGCGATTACCCATGAGGTGGCTGAGATGCCTCCAGGCACGGCTACTATGGAGATTTCGTCAGGTGATGCCACCATCACTGAACCATTTGAAGAATGTGTGACAACCAGTACAGCGACTGATGTAACTCCAGTAACTATGGTGATATCTGCAGGAGGTGTGATGGCTGATCAAATGTCTGAAGAAGTTGAGGGAATGAATGCACTGGCTTTGATTCCTTCAGACACATTTACTGGGGACATGTCTGCAGGGTGTGTGATACTCAATGAGATGTCTGGAGAAGTTGGGAAAACTGATGGGATAACGGCGGTTATCCCACCAGGCACTGCAGCAAGATTACAGGTATCTGCAGAAGGCCATGTATCCAATAAAGCTGCTGGGGAAGATACAATTACCAATGAGGTGGCTGAGTTACTTCCAGATACAACTGTGTCTGAATCAAAGTCTGCAGAGGGTATTATTGCCAATGGTGGATATCAATGGGAGACGAGCATTGAGAAACCTGAGGTGCCTGCAGACAGAGTAACAGCAGTGATGTCTGATAAGGGGGAGATGCTCAATGCATTGCCTGGACAAGTCATCAAAACCAGCTGGATGACCAAGGCACTTCCAGACCAAACGACAGCCACGGCAATGTCCACAGAAGGTGTGGTAGCCAGTAGGAGGTCTGGAGAAAGTGCCACAAACGTGATTGCTGAGGTCCCTTCAGATTTTCTTCCCACAACAATGGAAATGTCTGCAGAGAGTCAGATAAGCAGTGAGCTGTCAGCGGAAGATGTTCCCAATCGTGAGGTGATTTCTGTGTATCCTGGTGTTACAGCAACAAAGGACAACTCCTCAGAGGGTGTGAAAGTCAATGAAATGTCTAGAGAAGGCATTCAGACCAATGGGTTGGCTGAGATGGAGATGACTGCAGAAGCCGATATAGCTACTGAAATCTTAGGAGCAAGTGTGGCAACCACTGGGTTGGCAGAGGATACTGGAGCTGTTAAAGACATGTCTGAAGAAGTTGAGATGTTCATCGATCGTCCAGAAGTGGCAGAAATCACTGAAGTGGCTGAGAAACCTTCAGATCTAACAGTGTCCTGGGAGTTAGCTGCGGGGAGTATAGTGAGGAGAGAAATGTCAGGAAAAAGTGCAGCAATCATTGCTCTGGCCTCTGTATGTCTAGGTGTGATGGGGACTATGCAACTGCCTGCAGAAGGTGAGATAGTCAACAAGGTGTCTGGAGCAGTGACAACTCACAGAGTGACTGATGTTCCTCCAGATGCAGCAGTGGCAATGTTTGCAGAAAGTGATCCAGCTGAAGAAAGTGTGACAAGTAATGAGATTAAAGAACTTCTAAATGTAGCAGTGGCCATGGAGACATCTAGAGAAGGTGCAGTACCCAATAAGGTATCTGAAGATATGGTGACCAGTGAGGTGACTGAAGCATCTCCAGATGTTACAGGACCCATGGAAATGGCTGTGGACAGTGTGGTAACCAATAACTTGTCTGAAAATGTGACACCCAGTGAGATGGCATCTGGACTGCGATGTGCTGCTATATTGTCTAAGGAGATTTCTGTTGAGGGTGTGGAAGTCGAAGATGTATCGGAGGAAGGTGTAACAACCACTGGAATGACTAAGATGCCTCCGGATGCTACATCATCCATTGAGAGGTCTGCAGAGGGTGAGGGAGACGCTGCAATCCCAGAGTGTATCGCAAACAACGGAGTGACTGAGGTATCTCTCGTTTCTGCATCAACGCTAGGTAATTCTGCGGAGGGTCAAATCCCGATTGAGCCATCGGGAGAACTTGTGCTCACCAGTGGGGTGGTCGAGGTTCTGCCCGATATAGCAGAGTCCTTGGAAATGGCTGCAGGAGGTATGATTGCGAATGAAATGTCTGGAGAAGGTGTGGCCATTGATGCTTTGGTACATTCAGGTTGGACGGTGGCTACGGAGTTGTCTACGGAAAGTGAGGGAGCTGATGAAATGCCTCTAGAAAATGAGATGGCTAATCAGGCACATCCAAACACAGGAGCAATTCCAGAGATCTCTTCAGAGAGTGAGAGAAATACAACACTCGGGACGGCCGAGCAACTTCCAGATGTTACAGCAGAGATGGAGATATCTGCCCCATGTGTGATAGACAATGAAGTGTCTGAAAAACATGTGGTGTCTTTTGGACAGCCTGGTGCTGTAGCACTGGAAGATGAGGAGATCTCCTCAGAAGATTTGAAAGCCAATAACCAGTCTGGAGAAGGTGCGACCAGCAATGCAGTGGTTGAGATGCCTCAAGATGCTACAGCAACTACAGAGACGCCTCGACAGGATGAGGAAGCCATTGAAATCTCAGAAAAAGGTGTTGTAATCAATAGATTGCCTGGGGCACCTACACCTGCTGCTACAGCAACTACACAGATGTCCACAAAGGGTGACTTAGATGGTGAAACATCTGACAAAGATGTCGCAACCAGGAATGTGGCTTCTGAACAGCCTGGAGTTCTCGTAGCTAAGGGGATAGCGCCAACTGGTGTGGAGGCGAATGAAACATTAACAGATGATGTGAGGACCGACGGCGTGACTGAGGTACCTCCAGATACAGCAGTGACCTTGGAAACGTCTGCCGAGGGTGTGGTGGAAGCCAATAAAGTCTCCGAAACAGATGGGGCAACCCATGCAATGCTGGAAATACCTCCAGGGGTTACTGCAACAACGGAGATCATTCCAGATGTTGAGATTGCCAATGAAGTGCCTGAGGAAGATGCAAGAAACAATGAGGTGTTTGCAGAGAGTATGTGGGCTAAGGCATTTCCAGACACTGCAGTAACTATGGAAACATTTGCACAAAATGTGATCTTCAAACCAGTGCCTGTAGAGTGTCCGTCAGCAAGTGAGGTGACCAGCCAAATGCCTTCAGATATTTTGTTACCTAATAACACGGAAGTTGAAGTAATGGCAAAGATTAAAGGAGCAAAATTAGTTAGTGAGGGGCTTGCTGCTATTATGCTCAACCAGATGCCTTCAGGTGGAAGGTCTGCTGACAACAGGTCCCGGAAGAGAAAAGCCTCTGAATCTCTGGCCGAGGTTTGTGCTTACAGGCCAAACAACGCTCTGTGTTGTGCTGGTCACTGGTGCACAGCAATGAAGGTGACTGAACATGAGTTGCACTCTGTTTCAGTAAAGTCGACTGACCACACATCTATATTCGTTCAAAGCAAAGAGCAGCAAGTGAACCGTGTTGGAAATGAACATTCCCCGACTGCGCCAGATAGAAACATGGGTGCATTTGGAGCTGTTGAATACCATCGAGTGGATAAGGACCAAACCCTTTGCTACAGAAGGACTGGACTCAGAAGTACGATTAAAGAAAATGATTCAATATTAAAGCTGGGAGAGTTAAACTCCGCAGTGCTTTTAGCACATTGTAATCCACTTTACTCCAAACTGCAGCTCATTGATAGCACTGCAGTGAGGTTCGATTGCTGTAGCCGAGACGACCCCAAGTATGACACGTCTGATGTGGGCGAAAGGGTCCTGCAACTGGGAGAAACAAAACCAGAGAATATCCCTGTTAATGCAGTTAATGCTCCAGTGTTTAGTGAATTGTCTGGTGAACTTGTCCCAATAGAAAAGCTAGCCACCTCAGCAGGCAACATGGTTTCTGCCAAATGTGTGAAAATGGAGCCAGCATCCTTGCAGAAGTTGGAGATGTTACAAGCTGTGGACATGTGTAGTATCTTTCAAGCCCCAGAATGGATGGATCAGAATTTTTGCTTGAATACTGAACTGAAATCCTGCTGGAATTCGACTTGCATGCCAAACCTCAGTCAAGATCAGTGTGGAGTCCCCACGAAGCTCCAGCCTCTAACTTGGTCTTCTAGAAACTATCTGGTGCCTCGGAATAACCATACACATTTTGTTACTCCTATTTTCCCCGTTTCTTCAGGCGTCAAATTAGCTCCAATATTTTCCTCATTAACCATTAGCGATGAAGCAATGGAACAGTGCATCTCCAGACGGACTGATTGGTGCACCCTTCCTGGTTATTCAAGTGAAGATGCCTGGGCAATTTTGCAATGGCTGAATGGCTTTGGTAAGAATTCCTGGCCACTTTCCACGCTTTGCAAGACTAGGATGTGCACATGCAATCGCTCAAAGTTTGGGTTGCCCACGATTCTAGCACTTTCATCTCCAGGCTGTTATAGAGTATGGACCAGGAGACGTCGTTTGGGTAGCAAGATCCCCACCGTCCAGCGCCTGTTTCTGACTCGATTCGAAGAACACTTGAAAGGATTAAACATCCCAGTTCCTTTGGACAAACTGTTTCCGTCGATGCCCTGTAGCTTAGGTAGAATAGTGTCCTGGTGGAACCAACATGGTCCATCATTTGCGTCAAGTACTGGCTCTACAAACAACTGTAAAAGGATGAGCATGGGAACCAGTCCCAGGTAAGCGCAGTCAATGGAGGTTGCATTACTTCTGGTAATGCACTTTACAGGATGAAGTCACTCTAGTGAATCAGTGCCTATCTAATCCTAGGTCTCCTGTAGCTTTTTAATTTTGGCATTCTAACATTCCCCTGGCTCTTTCTTCACGTGGAGTTGTAGGATGGGGTTGTGTAACCACGGGAACTGCTCGTACCTCTCCCAACTCTTCATTCTTCAAATGGATAATTGGCCTTCGGTGTCTAATGTGTCCATTCCTCCAGCAACCCAACACATGAAGAACCTCGCAGCAGGCCTAACGCATCAGTTAATCTTTAAACACTGCAGATTTGCATTTTCTAATTTTCTAACAACAAAAAAATCATAGCACTCAAATGGGGGGAAACGGAGACTTTAAGTTCTCAGACTGGAATCTTATCCAATCAGCAGCTAATTGTCAGTAACTTAAAGATGATCAATGTGCTATAAAATGGCTAATCTCGAATGAAGAAGAGAATTAATTGTGCAGCGATGGGAACAGGCTGCACAGCCTAAAGTCAGAAGCAGTTTGCTTCCTGTTTACAGTATTGTGTGATGGAAAGCCAAAGATTGTCTATCTACCGAGGACTGAAAGGGACTTGTGAGTTAGATAAGACTTCAGCCTCTTGACTGAAAATAAATAGTCCCTTCATCTCACTCCTTCCCTCCTTCAAGGTCCGTCTCAAGACCTTCTGCTTTGACTGCGCCTTTGGTTATTTTCTACACTGCCCCCCCCACCCTCCACCACTCCTCTTGAATCTAGCCCCCAGCTCAGGTGTAAACCCTTGTCTGTTCAGCGCTTTGAGATGTCCTCCCATAAAAGGTACCATATCATTTTTTTGTTGGAGTTGAACTGGCTCCGATAACTTTTGTATCTCTTTCCTCTCCACAATTAAACTTGGTTCTCATTTTATGGTCCTACTCTTAAGGGACCTTTACTAGTCTGAGGAGCTGAGTGACCCCATTGCAATTCAAGCCTCTGAGCTTTAAGTAAAATTCTCAACTCACTGACAATAATGCACTTTATAATAGTACTCAACTATCTTGTAACTAATTGGATTCAGTTGTAAACTTACTGAATATAAATTCCTGATTCCCATTGAAATGTAGGTTTATCTGTGCTGAGAGCACTATAGGATAATTCCAGTTAATGCAATTGAGCTCAATCGTGTCCTAATAATAATCCTTGCATTTGATGTGGGGCCTTATCACGTCTTCGAGACAACTCAAAGCGCTTCACAGGATACACTGTAAAGTGTAGTGACTGTATATTTTGCTTGTAAAATGTTCACAGTCACTTTCCAGCAGTCTCAGGACAGAGTTCAGCAATTGAGCTCTGGCTGTTCACTCCCAGTCCCTCCCTAACACTCTATTACTGGCTGCACTGGCTGACATTAGTAACGTCACTGACCGAAACCTGTGAGATTGATGGTGTGTGTGTGTGTTAGGCTGGGTTTCACATGGGTAAGGGGCTTTACTGCCTGACCGTGGGGAGGGGGAATGATCTTTCACTGTTCTTGTGAAGCTGGAGCATCGCAGAACCTTAGAAATGTGCAGCACAGGAGGTCATTCGGCCCATCGTGTCTTTGCTGACTCTTTTAAAGAATAATCCTTTTAGTCCTAAATTCAGTCCCCTTATAAGGCCACCAGGTGAGGGTTCACTTGAGCATCACAGGTGGTTCTGTAGCTTTTCTGTGTTTTTTTTTGTGGAGTTATGTAAAGATATTTGCTGATAAACTCTTCTCTCATTAACCATATGACTCTCTTGTTTACCCAGCTATTTCCTATCCAATCTGGTCACCAAGAATGGAACAAACTTCAGTGGAACTAAACCTTTGCTGTTTCTACAGACCAGTGAGAGAATGTGAGTGTTAAGCATTCAACTTGTGCGTTAATGCACGTGACTTTGTGTTGTGAGCTAAACTAGAAATTTCTGCTACAATGGATATTTATTAACTATTCAGTTTTCCTGAAAATAATTACTTGTGGAATGTAGCTCAATATTTCTATCGGGGAGAAGGAAGGGGGTAAACTTGAGTTTAACTTTGGTAATTTTGTGAATTCTGTTAACAACAACAAATTACATGTGAATAGCGCCTTTCACGTCAGGAGGACGTCCCAAGGCGCTGGACAGTCAGGGATCTGCATCCGAGCTGGTGGTTGGGATCAGGAGGGTTGGAGGGGTGGGGAGGGGAGGGGTAGGCGGGTGACCGAATGCACGGTCGAAGAGAAGGGTCTTGAGACAGGGGCGAGGTGGAGGGACTGTGGGATGGAGTTCCAGAAGGTGGGGGCAGCCAATGGTGGGGCTGGAAAGGCGGGGGATGTGAAACAGGCTGGAGTCGACTGAGCGGAGGGCGGGGACAGGTTGGTAAGGGGTTAGGAAGTCACAGAGGTAGGGAGGAGCAAGTCCATTAAGACTGAGAGAAGCTTCTAATATTTGGAGGGTTTATTCCCTGTTCCCCTAAAGAATATATGTTTGTACTTCTGTCCCTTCCCACAGTGAAGTGCGGCCTTTGGATCTCAGAGAGCTGTGTCCTGCTGTGTCAGACCTGCCTACCTCACCAGCAGAATGCACTGTTACTGACTTGAGCATCTTCCCAGCAGCTTTACCCCCTGCCCCCAGTGTTGAAAATCAACTGTGCTCAGAACAAAAGGAGGTACATAAAACAGGCCATTCCCTGTTTCTGTTGGGTAATGAATGAGTCTGAAAATGTGTCCCGTCGGTTACATTCTCAAAATGGATTCCTGTAGCTCAGTGGTTAGAGCACTCGCCTCGCAAGCGAGAGGACCTGGGTTCTATTCCCGGGTCAGGTTGAAATGTTGGCCAAGTTTCCCTTCTCTACAAGCCTCTGTTTAACCAGCAGTAACTAGGAACCTGGTTGTTAGTCGATTGGTGAATCACTTTTCTGGGGGAATAATCCCTTCAAAACTAAAACAAAAAAAAACAAAAAAATTTGTTCACTCGATCCACAACTATTTGTGGGAAACTGCTGTGCGCAATTGGCTGCCGCATTTCGCCTACAAAATGTACAGTGAATTCACTTTACAGTGTATCCTATCTCACTTTGAGATGTCTAGAAGACGTGATAACAAGATTACATTTGTATAGTGCCTAAGGCGCTGTATCAAATGCAAGTATTATTATTGTTGTTATTATTTAGTCATTATGAGCCGGTGTCCAGGAGTTACCTTCTTTGTAAAACGCTGAAAAGTAACCTCTCAAAAGGACAGTGTGAAGTGTCATCCTTTTTATTTCAAATAATGAATCTCCGTTTCCGATTTTGCTGGTGTTTAGGTCTGTGCGCCACCAGATGAAACCAAACGAAAACCAAAGGGGTCCACAAGAAAAGTCTCGCAAATTCGAATCCGGAAAACCATTCCGAAACAAGACACTAATCTCACCCCCATGGGACTGCCCAAACCCAAGAGGTTAGTTCAGCCATCACAGCATCAAACTCGTTTCAAACCAAAAGAGAGCGGCCAGTTTTAACCTGGCGATTCTACCAATACTATTGTGTGCTTTTACCCTAGGTTAAAGAAGAAAGAATTTAGTTTGGAAGAAATCTACACCAATAAAAACTACAAGTCTCCATCTGCAAACAGGTAAGCTTGAGAGTATTTTCTGTGGACTGTTTTACTTCAGTTCTAATGCTTGTGTGGGGTGGGAGTGTGTGTGTAGCGGGGGGTCATGGTGGGGTGAGCTGGCTCCAGGGTGACATGTTTGACAATTAATTGTCAGAAATGTCAGTAGTCTGCTTCATGAGCCCGGCAGGTCTTCGGGTTTCCAGGGCAGCGCTGATGACAGCCTGGCTCCTCGGCAGGACTTAGAAGGTCACGTCAGTCACTCACTCTTCCCACTCGTCTTCTGTTAACCCTGTAAGCCAAAGCCTCAATGAACAAGGTGCTCCTGACTGGACAAGCAGAGGGAAAGCTTACCAGACAGTGCCCTCAATGCCAAGCTGTGGTGTTTTATCAAGTTTAAAACTCCCAACGGTTACCCCAACACGAATGTACAATTGCGATTTTTGATTGACCGATTTGAGCGCTCCCTCTGGAGCCCACAGGGCTTGGCTCTCATCATCCTGCACCTCAAACTCTCCAGAATTCGGTGAGCAGGTTGTGTCCCTCCTGGGGAAGAGAATGGGCATTCCGTTCCCGACTCAGAAAAATAATTCTTACAGCAAAACGCAGTCAAATATTCTCTAATAATGGCGTATCACAGTCCAGCCTGCATAAAGAATATTTTTTATATAGGGGGGGAAAACGGCTGACTGTGTGTAACCCATCTGTATCACAGTGTGCATTGTTCTGGGTCTTTTGAGCGATTCTCCACCAAGTGGCAGTGTTGTCAACTTGAGGCGTAAAACCATGAGATGAGATGAAAACAGTCCCACTCTCAGACAAAATTACTAAAGCATAATGTGGTTTAATGTGTTCATTGATTTTGATCACCTGGAACCACCAATACTTGCATCGATTATTTTGGACAGCCTTTTTATATTTTGGGGGTCAGCCGGGTGTCTGACGCACGCGGAAACCAAGCCCATCTCTGTGCTTGAGAGTCTCCAAACCCAGCTGAGCGTGGTGATGGGTTTCTGCTCGTGTCAGACACGCCCTCCGACCAAAACACCCACAGCTTTTAACAAATGAGTTGCAGGATGGCATTTCACGCTTCCACCTTTACATCGACCCAACATCTTAAACACACGCTCCCGGACGCTACCCAGCGCGGAGGGAGGCGTATCAATGCAAGTTGTTGTTGTTGTTAAGCCTCGTTCCTTCTCCACATTGGCTGTTGCAAATGTTGAAAAGCATGTGCGCAAAACATCCTACTTAACTGCCATTTTGCTTTCTCTCTGCAGCAAATACCTTGAGACAATCTTTGAAGAACCTGTCCTCAAGAAAGGCTCCTTTGTGTGCACCAGCCTCCAGAAGCGCAAGCGGCTGTTGGAATTCCAGGATTACACCCTTCCCAGGAAGCGTCGAGCGCACTCCGGAGTGAAGGTTCCAAGTCGCACCCGTCGCAGAAAACCCTCCCCACGCGAGGGGGAGATCGATTCGTTGCTGATTCAGAAACTGACAGAACTGGAGGCTTTCCTTTCTGGAGAGGATTAAAGAAACTGTAGGCAATGGGGAGCGTTCTATTTATTAGGGTTGAATCGGGCCGCCTGACAGTCAGCATTTGTTTACATACTTGAAGACCAGGGAATGCCCAGCTGCTGCCTTGAGATAGATATGCTTGTTGGTTTGCTCGGGAGGAATTACTAACTTGACTAGCTGTTGCGTGAAGGAAGTACAGTATTAGTGAATTTATTAACATTTGTTAACCACACTGCTCCACACTCGCTGTTTGAGCAAAGGCGTGGAGAGGGTTGATGGGTGAGAAATACAGAACTGCACCAGTTGTGAGGCTTACTGTATGGGTGGGATTGTTTGAAGCTGCTGAACCCCAATGATTTCAATAGTTTACCAGAAATTCTCATTGCAAAGCGGCTTGGGATAGGTGATGGGCTTTCGGAACAGAAGCTGGACTGAATGACTTACATTAGTGGAGTCCTGTAGCTCAGTGGTTAGAGCACTCGCTTTGCAAGTGAGAGACCTGAGTTCAATTCCAGGCAGAGGGCGAAACCTTGGGCAAGTTTCCTTACTCCACACAGAGCCTAATAATAACCCCTCCAAAATAAAACAATTATAAATTGGTCATTTTCAATCCACGACTGTTTGTGGGACATTGCTGTGCGCAATTGGCTGCCGTGTTTGCCCACAAATATACAGTCAATTCACTTTACAGTATATTCTGTGAAGCGCTTTGGGACGTCTAGAAGTTGTGAAAAGCGCTATATCAAATGCAAGGATTATTATTATTATTATTATTAGCATGTTGTGACCTGGGTTTGAATCTCGCCCAAATTGGTGGGAAGAAAAGCCTTGCATCTCCAAGCTTGTGATAAGGGTGAGATGGGTTTGAGGGAAGAATGGAATGCAGAGCACAAAACTGTGAAAATAGAGCTTAATATCACTGAGAGGAGTACAGGAGGTGTGTGAGAAACGGCATCTCACTTGGGTAGAATTTCAGCGCTGAGTCACCCTGAAGTAGCTTTGTTTTTATCTAACCATGTTCAGAGTGTTTGATCCCGACACTGGGCTTTCAAAATGGGAATGTGGGAAAGACTTAACAACCTTCTCATCTCTCATCTACGAAATACAGTCGCTGCACTTCACGCTAAATTCTGCAAAACTCTTTTTGAGATGTCCCGATGTGAAAGGCGCGATATCAAATGCAAGGATGATGATTAATGTATTGGATGAGCACAAAATTCACACTTAAAACCGCAATTATTTTTGAAGCCTAAATTTTAATGTGTGAACTACTGAATGTTGGGAGATGGCATTGTAGGGTAAAGCAGCTCAGCAGTTGTGTCCACCAGGAAATGTCCTCCCTAGTATTGGTCCAGTGTGTGACCCCTGGAAGGTTTTTCTTACTGGTCCATGTAATTTGTGGGAGGTTTTGGTCGAAGTGATTTGTTTCTGGGTCTGCACGCTGGGAGAAGCTTTGTTGCAAATGAGCACTTCATGTCACAGCTGTCGTGTGAATGGGATTAAAGACTACTGTAGTGTTCACTGTGATGCTGACAATATTCAGGTGGTAACCTGTGTTGTCAGCGTTATAGGAATTGTTTTGTTTCCTGATATTCAGAAACCGCTAACTTGCAATGACTGCTCCGACCAAATCCGACTGTACCCTAGATTCTCCCCTCCCTCCCTCCTTCCCTGAATAACAGGGGGAATGGATTGTCTGCCTCTGAGTAGATATGTAATACATAAGCCTTCTCTTTGTAGAGATACTGCATAAATAGCGCACCTTATCTCTTTCAAAAGCAGAGTCACTTCAGGATAGTGAGGCTTGAGAAAGCAATGAAACTCGCCTGTCTTTACGTTAAAAAAAAGCTTGTTGAATCCCCACCACCTTGTTTTATGGTTTGTTTATGGTACAAAGTGCATCTATTGTAGGAAAGCCACTGATCAGACAGACAGACAGACAGACAGACAGACACCATCCGAGAATCACACTGTCCAGAAAAGCCTTTGCCATGTTTGAAATCCCATATCGTCTAGAATATAACGGTGGCCTTTTTGCCCCATTCAATCTAAATCTGCTGAGGATCTGTGAATGGGTGACTGGCTGAGATTCCTTGCGCGGGGCTGGCTAGACCTAGACCTAGATATCAGCCGCTCCCTCAATTACAACGTACCAGAATGTGGTTCTTGTTTCTAATTCCTTTCCATCTCCGGTGGGATTCTGCACAGCACAGGTTATGCCCTGTTAGCATCGGACATGCGCTACACAGGCAACAACACACACGCAGCTTATTTCTTTGCTGTGTGGCACTGAGGCAATCTGCTGAAAAAGACTTCTTTATCCTCGGGGTCGGGGGAAAAAAAAGAAACGAGGAATCAAAAAGAATTGTCTTTTCCTCCAACTTGCACTGGATTTCTTTAAGATTGCAACTGGATTTTTTAATTCCCCCCGAGGGCAATTGGGGGTTTTAACCAATCTGGGGCAAAATGAGTAGAGTCAAGTACTCAAATTCATGTGTATTTTTGAGAACATTCAAACGCAGGAATCGCTTAACCCAGAGGATTGCTCAGTGGGAAGATGTCTCTCGCCATCAATTTGTCACCGGGATAAAGGAGGAGCGATGGGCTGGTGAGTGTTTAATTTGGGGATTGGTGAGGTGATCTACACAGGAAGTAGTACCCTGTAAGGTCACGTTTTAATATCCTTCTTTATGTCTTTATTTCCCAAAAAAAGTGATCTTGCTTATACAGGTTTATACAGGGTGACCAAAAAGTCGTGACAACTACCTTATTATCCAAACAAACAAAATATATCGTCATTTCTTGAAGACCTATTGGAGATTGTAATGGTATCACGACGTTATGGTCACCCCGTATTTATTCAGCTTCCTGGGCTTGTGTCTCGGCAGCTGAGAGACTGGGCTGCGATGCCGAGACCGTTTTGAACGTCTCCTCAAAGGGGACAGGTACCGAACAGACAGAATTGGCCCTGAAGGTGTATAACATCATCATCTCCCACCTTCCTCTGGAAATCTGCTCACAAAATGAGCAGAGTTGGAGGCTCGCTGAGCTGGCATTATTTGCACAGATGAAAAATATCCAATTTCATATTAAACTCTCCAATTAAACGGATTACCTATTGGTCTAATTCGAAATGGAAGTGACTTTTTTTCTTTGCAAAATGCTCTCTATTCCCGGAGATGGACAGTCCCAATTATAGATTTTTTTTAAGAAAAACACAGTTCGATTTATGGTAGGAGCAGTCAGTGTGAGTGTGAAACCCGAGAATGTCCAAGCTAAAACATTAGCAGCTGCTATGTTACTAACCACTTAGCAAACTTCCAAGATTTCATATCATTTTTCCCTTTCTCGCCTGCTTGAAATTTACTTGAAATTGTTCCGATGTGGAGGGGGTCAGATCTTGGATTTTCTGGTAAATCTTGAAATGTGTATATACTGTTCAGAATTGTATATTTATGGCATCTAATACAGCAAATATAATGTGAAAAAGCTGAATACTTAGTTTGCGAACCGCAGATTGAATTGTTTGTGTGTAGGAAATGAAATATGGCATCTGTGCACTTTTCACTTGCGCTCCCAGAGATTGAAATGTAATTTGTACCATCCAGCACCTGAAGTAACTTGTACCTGGTCAACAGTCTGTCTTTTGATTTTTAACTACAATAGAACTGTCGAAGGATTGTGTGCGTGTGTGCGCGTGAGTGAGTGTGAGTGCATGTGTGTGCTATGTGTGTGTGTGGTGTAATGTATGTCACCCTATTCTCCGATTTCCAACCTTTTACTATTGTGTAATTAAATGACAGCCAACTTGTTTTCCGTTCACTGACCTTTGCACCTCTCGAGCCAGCTCTGAGCTTTTTAGTCATTCATTCATTCACTTTTTTTTCTGCAAACGTAACTAGTGTGTGTCACGCAGATGCTTTTGAGATTTGCTATTGAAGGGAGCCTGTTTTTGTGCACGGTATTTTGGATCGATTGCCTTGTTTTTAATGGAGAAACGGATTAGGAAAGGAGAGGATACCTCGACTATAGTGCTGGCTACTGCAACATAAGTGGTCTGGCTAACTTAGTATGTCTTACATTGACCAGCTCTTAATCCAACTTAATGCTTTATTGTAATTAATTTGGGTACATTTTCAGCACCCGATTGATATATGTATCTATGTAGAACCTCTATTAATCGTGTTCTCTGTATATTTTTGATGATACTAATTAAAAATCTCTAGTGTTTTTTATTGGTGTTTTCGCTGACGTATTTTAAGTTATTGAAAATCGATTTTAAGCTCCATTAAAAACCTTTCAACGTCTAAAACTTTGCGAGAAAGACTCAGGGCGGTTATTACAAAATGCGGGGTTGAAAACATGTGGCAAACAAATCAAGAAACTGTTACCCTTCAACTAGTTTCGATGTGTTAGTAGTTCAAACAAACCTGTAGGAGATGATTTAATCTGGAGGTGAGGTTGAAATTAGGTTCATTCTTGTGATCCAGATGTATTGTTGAGAACAGTTGAGAAAGCAGGAAGTTGGGCTGTCAACTGCTGACAGCCAGTCAGACTGAAGCACATCTGGTTCTCACGTCCAGACAGTCGGGTTGCTTTCCGAGAGAGCATTCCTGCGCCTCTCTGGCACGTGGATGTGATGTGTTCGACTTGGCTTGAAGATAACACGGGTAAGGTTGGGAACGTCTGCGACCTGTTCAGATGAGGTTGCCAAAGCGACCGGACTCACTTTCATCTTTAATGGATTCCAAATTTTGTTCGCTTTCCGCTTTTATCTGCTTGGTTTGAGCGCCCTTTTTAGCAGCGAGCAAAAACCCGTAAATCGCACTTGACTTGAGCTTTTCCGACACTTTTATGTGTGTTAAATTGTACCGATTGGATTTAGGACCCAGCAGATCAAAAGAAATGTTTAAAGGTACTGTGTCAGCAGGTTCCCACTTGGATAGGTATAGGGTTGAGAATGGGGGTTGTTTCCTTAATGGATAAATTAGCCATCGGCGTACTGCAATTTAATGGCATCAGATGTAGGATCATAACATTTTGCACCACAAAAGGAGGCCATTCGGCCAATCGTGTTTGTCGGCTCTTTGAAAAGAGCTTTCAAATCAACCCCACTCCCCCACTCTCTCCCCATAGCCCTGATCAACCCCACTCCCCCACTCTCTCCCCATAGCCCTGATCAACCCCACTCCCCCGCTCTCTCCCCATAGCCCTGATCAACCCCCCCCCCCTCTCCCCATAGCCCTGATCAACCCCACTCCCCCGCCTCTCCCCATAGCCCTGATCAACCCCACTCCCCCCTCTCCCCATAGCCCTGATCAACCCCACTCCCCCCGCTCTCTCCCATAGCCCTGATCAACCCCACTCCCCCCTCTCTCCCATAGCCCTGATCAACCCCACTCCCCCCGCTCTCCCCATAGCCCTGATCAACCCCACTCCCCCCGCTCTCCCCATAGCCCTGATCAACCCCACTCCCCCCGCTCTCTCCCCATAGCCCTGATCAACCCCACTCCCCCGCTCTCCCCATAGCCCTGATCAACCCCACTCCCCCGCTCCCCCCCCCCCACCCCCCCGCTCTCCCCATAGCCCTGATCACCCCCACTCCCCCCCTCCCCCATAGCCCTGATCAACCCCACTCCCCCGCTCTCCCCCATAGCCCTGATCAACCCCACTCCCCCGCTCTCTCCCCATAGCCCTGATCAACCCCCTCCCCACTCTCCCATAGCCCTGATCAACCCCACTCCCCCTCTCCCCATAGCCCTGATCAACCCGCTCCCCATAGCCCTGATCAACCCCACTCCCCCGCTCTCTCCCCATAGCCCTGATCAACCCCACTCCCCCGCTCTCTCCCATAGCCCTGATCAACCCCACTCCCCCGCTCTCTCCCCATAGCCCTGATCAACCCCACTCCCCCGCTCTCTCCCATAGCCCTGATCAACCCCACTCCCCCGCTCTCTCCCCATAGCCCTGATCAACCCCACTCCCCCGCTCTCTCCCCATAGCCCTGATCAACCCCACTCCCGCTCTCTCCCCATAGCCCTGATCAACCCCACTCCCCCTCTCCCCAAAACCCTGATCAACCCCACTCCCCCTCTCCCCATAGCCCTGATCAACCCCTCCTCCCCCATAGCCCTGATCAACCCCACTCCCCCGCTCTCTCCCCATAGCCCTGATCAACCCCACTCCCCCGCTCTCTCTCCATAGCCCTGCAAACTTTAAGCACCTATCCAATTCCCTTTTGAAAACTATTATCAAATCTGCTTCCACCAGCCTTTCAGGCAGTGAATTCCAAACCGTAACAACTCTCTGGGTTTAAAAAAAAGGTTAAAAAAGGTCAGACATTGAATTTCAGGAGTCCTTTATAGTTCATTTTCATTTATATCACAAGGTAAATATCTTGCATTAGAGCAATGAATACGGTTTTAAACTCTTCAACATACTTCAACATATATATATACAATATATATGTGATATAAAGACATGCATGATACATAATTAAAACAACCTCTTTCAGTTTCTTTCAATCATCCTAGATAGTAATGGAGCATTACAGAGAGATATGAAAGATCAATTTATCCCGGCACTTTTCCGTGCTGTGGTAATTCCCAGCACTGATGGCACCAGAGTAGCTTAGCAAAGAGGGAAATCCCACATGGAAAGAGTCCATTTCAGGAAGAAAACTTTCACCCACAAAACCCACAGTCAACTCACAGTATATCCTGTGAAGCACTTTGAGATGTCTCAAAGACGTGATAAGGCGCTTTATCAAATGTAAGGATTATTATTATAAAACGTTTTTGGAAGTAATGTCAAAATAAACATTTCAGTCAGTGTAATATTTGACTCCATAAAGGTTTGGTTGTTTCAATAGTTTAGTTTGTCCCCTGTAAAGTCCTTTAGTTCCTGCTGATGATGATCTCTTACTGCCTGCAGTTTGTGAAACGAGTAACGTTTGAATCAGTTGAAAGAAGTTTGCGATGTGGTTGTTAAGCACATTGTGTCATTGTTGGACATTTACCTGATTTAAATGTCCGATTCAGAAAATGTATTGCAAATGTCCTGGGTACAGAATTCAAGGACCTCTGAAAAACAGTGAAGAGGCAACAGTTTGGGTTACATTTAAAAGGTTTCATTAAATTTGCTATAAAATGGATGAAGTCATGTTTGAGAGTTTACCTGAATCTGTGCAGTTGAAAATGGATTCTGCTAGGTCATAGAATTCATCACCCAGGATGGACGTGTAGCTCAGGTGAGTTGCATGACTCAGGCACTTTGTATAGTCTTTGAAAAGCAGATCACTTTTTGCAAACTTTTGAGACTGGAAGAGCTGAAACTCCGAGTTGGTGTCAGCCCCGAAATGTTCCTGTTAATTCAGAATGACATCAGTAAAGCGCTTTGAGACGTCTCGACGACGTGATAATGCGCTAAATCAAATGCAAGGATTATTATTATTATCGTTCAACGAAACTTCACAAGAAAAATGTAAGTTTTGGATATGTTAGGATTGTTTACTTTCCATGTTGCGTTCACTGAGGGAGCAGGATAGCAACTGACCTGGAAAAACTGGTTTATAATCAGCATTGGGGTTAGGGTTAGGGGTTAGGGTTTCAGAAACACTGATTGTCCAGTGCCTTGGGATGTCCTCCCGATGTGAAAAGCACTTTACACATATAATTTTGGTTGTTTTCTTTGTTGTTGTCGTTACTGAAACCTGCAGAACTTTCTGGTGACCAACAAATCCACAGAGGGTTGCCTCAATTCTGACATTTCCTTGGCCAACACATGACTCTGGAGCCAGTGTAGCCCCAGTGAGTCCCCACGTCCTCGCCACAAACATGTTTGCCTCTCTGGAAAAGTCTTTTTTTTTAATATAATCCCCTTAAGCATTTCAAGCCCCTGTTCTGAAGCCAGTCATTATAATTTGCAGTTTTCATTTGAGTAGAGTTGTTTGCTTCCTACACAGATGCCGCGTTTAGCCCACAAAATACACAGTCACTACACTTTACAGTATATTCTGTGAAGCGCTTTGGGATCTTCTATCAAATGCACGGGTTATTATTTATATTATTACACAGCAGTCAAACACTGTAGCTTGTGACCAGAAGAGTGTGGAGAGACAGACCTGGGATTTCATCAGGAAATCGTAAATTTTGGTGGCAATGACCGGTCTCGTCATCACGACATTTGCAGGGATTGAACCCAGATTGCATCTGTGCCACTCAGTGACTGGGGCTCGCTGTCCATCCGGGCACAGCAGCTCAAAGTCCTCCGCCGTCCAACCATCAGCCCATCTGTTCCTCCCAATACCTGCACAAGGAGACGAGGCAAATCACGCATCAATTTTGATTCGAACAGTTCTTTTGTTTTTTAGAAGTGGGGAATAATCTAATATTCTGACCATTATTTTAAATTTACATCATTTTCCATTTTGTACAGTTTTGCACTTTACAATCAGAGGAAATCTGGTGAGTCATCTGGAACAGCCTCCAGTTCCAAACCCTCTCATTCCATTGCTCGATCTCTCCTTTAACCTTTTTGTGCATTGAATCGGCTTTAAATGTTCTCTTTCTTCCCCCTCCCCCACTCTCTTGAGAGGTTTGATTCCATGGACCTCACACAAGTAACTTCTTCACAGAACCATGGAAATGTTTGACACAGTAATAATGGGCCATTTTGTAATGTCGTCTTTGCTCCATCAAAAAACCACCCAACCTATTCCCTGCTCATTTCCTGTAGCCTCTGATACTCATATAATGTGCGTGGACCTCGCCAGTCAGTGTCACAACTCAACTATCAGACACAGGACAGCCCATATCCTAAAGGTCTTCGCTTTTCAACTGAATAGCATTGACCATTCATCTTACAAAGAATGTCCAGTACGGAAACAGGCCACTCATCCCAACCAGTCCATGTCAGTGTTTATGGTGCTCCTTACTCCCTCCCACAACCTTCTATTCCCCTCTCCCTCATGTGAAGGTCCAGCTTCTTCTTGAATGTGTCTACACTATTTGATTCAACCACCACTTCAGGCAGCAAGTTTCACAATCTCACTGCCCTCTGTATGACATAGTTCCTCTTAAATTCTCTTTTTAGATCCCCTCGTCGCCAACATATACTCGTGTCCCCTGGTTACGGATTCCCCAACCAGTGGGTACAGCCTATTTGTGCTAACCTTACTGAACCCTTTTATAATTTGCAACGCCTCTATCGGGTTCCTTCTTAAACTTTTTTTTTCTAATGAATAAAGGCCTAACCTATCCAGTCTCTCCTGAAAGCGGTAACCTGCAGCCCCGATATCATCCTCGTAAACTTACACCATTTCCATCGTTGTTATATCATTCTTATAGTGTGAAGACCAGAAGAGGAAACTGTATATCCAAATGTAGTCTAACCAATATTTTGTACAAATTCAATAAGTTTATATTCTAGACGTCTGTCATTGATGTCCTTTGAACTCCTCTGAATTTTTTGCTTCTGAAGCCAAAGGATGTTCTTTCTTTCATATCCCTAATTTTAATTTTTTTTAACTGAATCCCCCCTAAAACCTCTGAAGCTCCCCCAGCACCTGTTTGCTGTTACTTCAAGTCTGATCTTTTTTAAAGTTTTGATGACAGACAGTGAAAACTGAGAGACCATGACCCCATTTCTGATTTATTGAGCATTTCTGGTCGACATATTTTTGAGGCATTTTGTTCTTCTACATAAGAACATAAGAATTTGCTGGTGACAGAAGCCCATCCAGTTCCCCTTCCACCATCCTGGCAGTCGCTTTGACATGTCGTGTCCCAAACTACATACTGTTTCCCCAGATATTATTTTCCAGCAGAAATCAATCTCATTTGTTCTTGGAACAAACAACCTTTTCTGCTTCCATCGTCTGTCTCCCTGGGGGCCTGTTCCACACGTTTACTACTCGCTCACTGAAGTAGTGTTTCCGCAGATTTGTTCTGAATTTACTCCCTTCAATGGCAGGCCGTGACCTCTGGTTCTACTGTTCAGCACCAAGATAAAAATTATCATCAGAATGTGGTTCTTTCTTCTTAACAGCGGACAAACAGGGGACTTACTCTCTATGTTTTCTACTAAGTTGTGATGTTCCAGGAAGGCAACGTCCCCAAAGCTCTTCCCAGTGCGATCTCCGATCAAACACCTGCCCAAACAACACAATAGAAACAAAGTGATACCAAAACACTTTCAGCCTCCAAAACCTTGTATTAAAAATAGTTCCCACAGTGGAAGACGTGTAATCTGTTCAGCAGTCATCCTTACCCCAACCCCATACAATTACTGGCTCCAACCCCACAGGATAAAGTTTTTCTAATTTTCCTTTACAGTATTTTTCCTTTCTTCAGAATGAAAATGTCATGAAACGTCTCTGGTCTCTCCCTCACTCCCCAATAGAAGTTAACAAGAGCCAACTGGGTGAAAAAGCCCCTTCAGCCCATCTCATCACAGATGCCTCCGGAACAACCATGATATAGCGCCTTGTCATGTCTTTAAGACGTCTCAAAGCGCTTCAAACGATATACTGTAAAATGTAGTGACTATTTTGTGGGCGAAACGCAGCAGCCAATTGCGCACAGCAGCGTCCCACAGACAATCATGGATTGAGTGACTACATTACTTTTGTTTTTTTTCTTGAGGGATTATTATCCCCAGAAAAGCGATCCGCCAATCAACTAACAACTGGGTTCCCACTTACTGCTGGGTAAACAGAGGTGAGTGTGTGGAATAAGGAAACTTGCCCAAAATTTCTCCCTACCTGGCAGGGAATCGAACCCAGGTCCTCTCGCTTGCGAGGAGAGTGCTCTAACCACTGAGCTACAGGACTGCCACAGGGATGAATGAGTTCAAAATGAAATGAATAGAACTATTTGGATAAGGGAAGAGATGAATACTCACAGGAGGGCACCCATGTTGCCATAGTAGAGCTCATTGTGGTTGGCCACACATCGTTGCTTGGATGATTTTGTCCCGGGTTGCTGCCCACCAATACAAACCTTACAAAGGTTGCCTTTCGCTCCAGGCATGCACCCTTTCCAGAAGTAATTAGAGTAAGCTGCAAATCAAACGGAGGAGGAAAAAAAAAGTCTAAATATAAACGTAGAAAGAACGAATTTGCCTTTTTATCGTGCCTTAAAATGTTCAAAGCGATTCACAGTGATTCGTGTCACGTGTAGAGACTCGTGTTTGTAGGACAATTTGCACCAGCGAGCTACAAGGAGAATGACCAATTAAATTGTTCAGATGTTTATGAACAGCCTCTATTGGGATGTCCAAATTCTGTTGTCAGTGTATTCCAGCTGTGCTCCTCTGCTAATACAGCAAACCACAATGTGCTTTATTATGGCCTTTTGCATGCTCACATAATGTAACACTTATCCGCCTCTGGCTCAGATACTGGCTCAGTAGTTCGGACTCTCATCTCTTGTCAAAAGATTGTGGCTTCAAGACTCTGAACTCACAGTCCAGTGTGGGAGGAGTGCTGCTTTGTCAAAGGTCGGAAGAGACATTAAACTGAGGTCCCGTCTGCCTGTGCAAGTGGATTTTAAAGATCCCACGGTATTACTCGAAAAGCGAAGGGAGTTCTCTCCTGGAATCTTGGCCATCGATCCCTCAAATAAAACCGGATGCATTTCAAAGAAATGCATTCATCACATAGCTCACACCACAGGCCGCCAAGACCCTCATCCACGCACTCATCACATCCAGGCTTAACTGCGCCAACTCCCTGCTTGTCGGCCTCCCCAACTCCTCCCTCCACAAGCTACAGATCATCCAGAACCCTGCAGCTTTTGTCCTCTCCCTCACCGGGCTCTGTGACCCCATCACTCCCACCCTCGCCCGACTCCACTGGCTCCCCATCCCCCAGAGGATAGAGTTCAAAATCCTTGTCCTCGCCTTCAAGGCCCTCCACGGCCTTGCCCCCTCCCACCTCTGCGACCTCATGACCTCATATCAACCTGTCCATTCCCTCTGCTCAGCAGGTTCTGACCTGCTCCGCGTCCCCGCCTGGCCCACCCCACCATCGGCATCCAGGCCTTCAGCCTTTCTGCCCCTACCCTTTGCCTCGCTCCAAGGCGCATCTCAAAACCCTCCTCTTTGGTCACCCTCCGTATCCTCCACCCTCCCCGATCCCGACCCCCAGCTCAGGTCCAAATCCCTGACTGTCCAGCGCCTTGGGACATCCTCCAGACGTGAAGGGCGCTGTACAAATGTAACTTGTATTGTATATTATTTTCTAGCAGAAATCTATCTAATTTGTTCGCGAAACAAATGACCTTTGTCTGTTTCGACTGTTTACCGTGGAGCCATAAACGTGATCTCCACACCATTCGTTGATGAGGTGCTCACAGTACGAGATTGACATTGATCCATTTTCACCCTTGGTCTCCATTGCCCACCTGTAGAAATCAGGAGCCCACACGTACCTTTGTTGATGTTGCAGATATCTGTAGCATTCGGATCAGACTTGATGGTGTACTTTGATAACAGAAGCCACCCGGCTGGGCTAAACAAGTGGCTGTGGCAGGATCGCCTCCCGGCTAAGTTGAATATATTTACATTTCTCGTAGCCTTCTTCACCACAGCAATTGCGTAGACTGGAGGTCGCACTGCAATAGCATCACAAAACACAACACGTGGAATAAGTGGCTGCTTCACCTCTCGTCTCTCCCTCCATCATCATCATTCTCACGGCTGTTTTACTGATATGACTGTGGCTGTTCCTCCTCCTCTGAACCTTTATCCCAAGCTCCTAACGCGACACTGTTTGCTCTTCCTCTCCACTGTTTCCTGACTTTGTTGAATTGAGACACATTGCACTCTCTCCTCCTCTCAGTCATCGCTTCCTGGGATCTCAAGACTGTGGATTTTTCGTGATCTAACACTAGAAATTCCACCTGGGTCCAGATTTACTCTGTTTATGTAGCCTTTAATAATAATATTCCTTGCATTTGATATAGCGCCTTATCACGTTTTCGAGACATCTCAAAGCGCTTCACAGGATACACTGTAAAGTGAATGGACTGTATATTTTGGGCGAAATGCAGTAGCCAATTGCCACAAACAGTCGGCGATTGAGTGACCACATTTTTTTTNCAGGAACCACAGAAATCTGGCCTCAAAGTTAGAACTCAACAACTTGCCAAATTCTAGATGTTCTGAAATGTTAAAATACACTGAGAAAATGTAGATGTGTGGATATATTACAAACTAGGTGGAACGTTCTGCTTTAACATCTTTCACCTTCATTCAAACTTCTGAAGCCTGGTCTTATTGTCTCCTTTGGAATTTGTCTCAGCTCTTTTCAAACTCTGATTTCATCATTAATGGTAGCTTACACGGCTTAACAAACAGAGTACACGGGTGGATGTAATATCTCTGTGTGTGAAGGTGACTTAATAACACAGGAATGATTACAATAGTTATGAGTATGTTCTGTTCATACTGTACATACAAAAACAGGGTAATTAATGCCTCTGTAGGTTCTGAGACTCAACTCAACACTTGATTTCTCATCAAATCTGAGGCCAGCGATTTAAGCTGCTCCTTGTGGGTGTGTTTGTTACGTCACCAGCCTTCCCCACAACTAATGAAGATCAGTAGAGACAACACCCTGGTGTTGGGCAGCACTCTGGAGGTTTATAATAATTATCGTTGCATTTGATATAATGCCTAACCGCGTCGTTGTCACGTCTCAAAGCGCTTCACAGAATATACTGTAAAGTGTAGTGACTGTATATTGCATGGGCGAAACGCTGCAGCCAATTGCTCACAGCAGCATCCCACAGACAGTCGTGGATTGAGTGACAAATCTTTTTTTTTGAGGGTTTATTACCCACGGAAAACTATCCGCCAATCGACTAACAGTCGGGTTCCTACTTACTGCTGGGTAAACAGAGGCGTGTGGAGTGAGGAAACTTGCCCTGCCCAGGAATCCAACCCAGATCCTCTCACTTGCAAAGCAAGTGCTCTAACCGCTAAACTACAGGATTACTAAAGACATTAAAATTTATTCGAGTGCAGCCCAAGTAGTCTATCAACTTTGAAATGTTTTACTGCTTTAAAGAACACTCCCAATAGCTATTACAGTACAGTAAGAAAATGTTCACACTGCACTTATACCTTTTGCTTCAAAGTGAGCGGTTCCATTTTTCCCACCATAAGTTGTACAATTCCCTCCTGGAACACGAAGAACATAATTAATGCACCATTCGTGGGAGAGAAACAATCACAGAAATAGTGATTCTCTTACAATCTGAGAAAAAAGCAAAGTTAACGCTTTGGATGAGGACTTTGATCAGAACCCGCAGGAAGCACACTGCCTACCATAATATTCAGTCACTACTGGAACAAGTCCACAATTGCCAGCGATGTAAGTATGAGTTGCATCAAAGGAAGCAGCGTCCACCTCATCCCTCTTGAAATTAAAAGAAAGTACTATTACAACAATAACAACTTACATTTGTTATAAAACGGCTTTGTCGGGTAGCGGCTTGGAGCACTTTGGCCTTTCATATGTTATAGTCAAAAAGGACAGAGGCAGAAATATAGTACAATTCTGTATAATTCTGTATATATTCATTTGGGAATTATATTCCCATATGAATATAATTCACTCCCAATGGACGTCCTCCCGACGTGAAAGGCGCTCTATAAATGGAATCTTGTTGTTGTATATTAAAACTGCCTATCCCCTCCCCCTAAAATTTGATTAACCTCAAATAATATCCTAAGAAAGTATGGCATAAGAAAAGTCTGCATGGCCTTTCAAGCTGACTCCTTTCATAGGCTATCCTGTCTTGAACTCCATCCCTCTGTTTTGCGGGGAAATTCCACACAAACACTCCACCGCCAAAGACAATCTAGCAATAGCTGGAAACATTCCCCACCCCTGAGAACAAGCAAATAAAATAACTCACGACAAAGCATAATCATCATTCAGGAAACGTGTAGCAGACATGGCTGAGGTGCCGTATGAAATGCAGCATGAAATTGTATTTTGTGGGCGAAACGTGACAGCCAAGTGCGCACAGTCGTGGATTGAGTGACCACATTTTTTTTGTTTTTTTTGGGATGGATTATTACCCCGAGAAATCCGATCCCAAAATCGACTAACAACCAGGTTCTGACTTAATGATAGGTAAACAGAGTAAGGAAAGGAGTAAAAAAGGAAACATTTTGCCCTACCCGGGAATCAAACCCAGGTCCTCTTGCTTGCGAGGCAAGTGTCCTAAGCACTAGGATACAAGCAGGACTCCACCTAATATTATACACTTAGTTTTCTCGATGCACTTTACGCTTTGTGAAGAGCAGTTTTATTTGCTGGGTTTTCCGGAGATATATTAATATTTCTGAGATTTTGCTCCACTATCTTCATTGATCATGGAGTATTTATTTCAGGATATCCCTTCAGTGAGGGGGATGGAGTTCATGTTAGGATACTCTGTGGTATTTCAATATTTAGAACTTTTACGACAAATTGCATTTATATTTTGCCTTTCATGTCAGGAGGAAGTCCCAAGGCACTGGACAGTTGAGGTTTTGCACCCGAGCTGGGGGTTGGATGGCAATGACCGAAGGTGCAGTCAAAGAGGAAGGTCTTGAGACAGACCTTGAAGGAGGTAGGGGTCATGTACATATTTTACATCACATTTCATGGTGATAACATACTCAGGTTTTCTCTGACAGGACAATCAAAGGATCACTTCAGGACAATATTTAGTGTGTTAAATGTAAACACCTTAATCATTTCTATGCAGTCACTCATTGATGTCACTCGAACACAGACCAGGGGATCAGACTTCACATTCAGGGCCCATTCCTCACATTTGCTCTGCTCTGCTTCACTGATACAGCACCAACGCACAACACTGTTCTCCAGGGAGCTCCCTGAGCAAAAATAAAAGGATGAGTATTAAATTCATGGAAAATCTGACATAATGAGTACCATTTCACACCCCTGACATCATAATAATAATAATCATAATCATAATAATCATAATAATAATCTAAGAATGTTAGCTGAAAGAAGTCCATCCAGTTCCCCTTCCACCATCCTGGCAGTCACTTGATATGTTGTATCCCAAACTATATACTGTATCCCCAGATATTATTTTCCAGCAGAAATCTATCTCATTTGTTCTTGAAACAAACAATATTTTCTCCTCCACCGTCTGTCTCCCTGGGAGCCTGTTCCGTAAGTTTATTACTCGCTCACTGCAATAGTGTTACATCCCTCACCTTGATGAGTGCATATAATAATAATAATAATAATAATAATAATCCTTGCATTTGATATAGCGCTTTTCACGTCGGGAGGACGTCCTAAAGCGCTTCACAGAACACACTGTAAAGTGAATTGACTGTTTATTTGTGGGCGAACGCGGCAGCCAATTGCGCACAGTAATGTCCCACAAACAGTCGTAGATTGAAAATGACCAATTTTTTTTTTGGTTTTGGAGGGATTATTATTAGGCTCTGTGTGGAGTAAGGAAACTTGCCCAAGGTTTCGCCCTCTGCCTGGAATTGAACTCAGGTCTCTCGCTTGCAAAGCGAGTGCTTTAACCACTGAGCTACAGGACTCCACGTTGCTTCTTAGACAAATAAAAACATGTCGTGAAATTCACTTTACAGTGTGTTCTGTGAAGCGCTTTGGGACATCCTCCCGACATGAAAAGAGCTATATCAAATGCAAGGATTATTATTATTATCATCATTATGACACACTTATGGGTCTAAAGTAGCCCATTTTAAAGAATAAATTCTGAGATGAGGAGACAAAAGAATTTGGATTAATTCCATTTTCTGGTGAACCATTTTCACATTTTAAGGTGACCTTTTAAGTTAATAATCCCTGACGAAAGGTCATCGTCCTGACACATTAACTCACTACCTTCTCGCCATAGATTATTATTATTATAGATGCTGCCTGACCTGCTGAGTGATCCCAGCGACTTCGGTTTTTATTTTAGTTAATAATCACGTTGGATAAAATGATTTTTTTTGTGTAGGGGGTGGGGAGGGGGATGGTTTAAGTCTGACACATGCGGAAACCCATCACCATGCTTAAGAGTCTCCAAACTGGTCTGAGAGGTCCATGCATGTCATCTACACATGGAAATTCCCTGTTCGGAATCGAATATGGAATCGAACAATGAAATAAAAGTTAAGGATTAACTGTAAATTGTGTATCAGTGGTTTAAGCTCTCTGTGCAAACTTGGTTCTAATAATAATCCTTGCATTTGATACGCTTTCACTCCGAGTCTAAGCCTTCACATGTGATGTAAATTAACTGTAAAGTGAATTGACTGTATATTTGTGGGCGAACGCGGCAGCCAATTGTCCCACAAACAGTCGTGGATTGAAGTGACCAATTTATAACTCTGTTATAAGTGTACAAAACAGGAACAAAGAGCCTTACCTTCATGGCCTATTCCCTTCAGGAGAGCTATGTAATCCAAACCTAGAATAAGGTTGATATCTGCATCATCTGTTAGAAGTTGCAGCTTTGTAGTGGCATCTTGAAACAGGAGATTTCTCCCATCAAATCCAGCGGAGCTGAACAGCTGAAACCTCGATGACTCTTTTCCATTTCGCCCAAAGAGATGCTGAAATAAGCACAGAGCTGTCAGCTTGCACTAACGTCGAAATTCGGGCAGACAAATGTTTGCTGGGGTTAAAAAAGAATGTTTTTTTTTGCTCTGCTTCAGTTAGGGCTGACGTATTCCTGAGGACACACATATCCCATCCCGAGCACATGGCATCTCTCTGATAGCACATCGAGCAAGTTGAAAGCACTGCGGACAATCACAGCCTGAGAGACAAGCGACCTCTAGTCAGGGAGCTCCACACGGTTTGCAGCGGCTCAGAGTTATCAACCCGCTGGTGAGCCTTGCCAGCATCTTATTAGCTCATGAGCACGCGTGGCTTCATTCTGCGTTCATAGATTCAGAGAATTACACAGCGCAGAAGGAGGCCATTCGGCCCATTGTGTCTGTGTCGGCTCTTTGAAAAGAGCTTCCAAATCAACCACACTCCCCCGCTCTCCCCATAGCCCTGATCAACCCCACTCCCCCACTCTCCCCATAGCCCTGATCAGCCCCACTCCCCCGCTCTCTCCCCATAGCCCTGATCAACCCCACTCCCCCGCTCTCTCCCCATAGCCCTGATCAACCCCACTCTCCTCATAGCCCTGATCAACCCCACTTTCCCGCGCTCTCCCCCTATAGCCCTGATCAACCCCACTCCCCCACTCTCTCCCCAAAGCTCTGCAAACTTGTCCTCCTCAAATAATTATCTAATTATCTAGTTCTGTGTTCATATAATAATAATAATAATCCTTGTATTTGATACAGCGCCTGATCACATCTTTGAGACGTCTCAAAGAACTTCACAGAATATACTGTAAAATGTAGTGACTGTGCGTTTTGTGGGTTAAACGCGGCAGCTCCCCAGTACAGCATCAATAGTCAAATTACATCCACAGCCAAGTCCTGTGATGTAGCAACAGACTGGTTTACCTGAGACACAGCGAGGAATTTGCGTGTGATCTTCCTGTAGTTGTACCTGGTGACGATGGCATTGCCAGGCCCTCGGCCAAGGTTACATTGCCTGAACTCGCTGAGGTTGGCCTTCGTCCCATCAGTACAAAGTAGTTTGTATTTAGCCGCCTCGGATTCTGAGGAGAATAATTCTCTGAAGTGTTAGAGGCCCCTCATTCCGTTTAAAACAAAGGGATTTGGGATGTGCTGATCTCTGGATTTCCTGCCCATCAGTCAGGCCTCTCAACAACAACAACAACTTGCATTTATTTCACGCCCTTCACGTGGGGTAATGTCCCGCTCCCAGCACAAGTTCTCAGCGTCACTGCGACCCTATCCAGTTCAAGGTAAACCTCCAAAACAAAGTACAAGATGTATTGCCGTGGTACAGTCCAAGATCAATAATCACCAAACAATCCCAGTCTCCACAGCAGCACTGCCCACCATCTACCATCACACAGCAGCTCACAACCTTCTACGGTACTGGAGTAAAAACAAATTGCTGGGAGCACTCAGCAGGTCAGGCAGCATCTATGGAGAGAGGGAAGTAACCAAAGGCCATTCACCTGAAACGTTAGCTCATTTTCCTCTCTCCATAGATGCTGCCTAACCTGCTGAGTGTTCCTTTCGTTTACAGTCACTGTATTGTTGGCTCTGCTCCCTCTCCTGTAGCATCATCCCAGCTCATCTCCACTGCCCAACACGCACTCAAGAGCATAAGTGGAAAAGTAGATGTGGGTAATCAATACTGTTTCTATTTCTATTGGTTCTAATGCTGCGGGGGTTGACGAAGTGATTAATTACTGTAATAATAATAATAATAATAATAATAATAGGGCCTTAGTGAGACCGCACCGAGAGTATTGTGTGCAGTTTTGGTCCTTATTTAAAAAAGGACATACTTGCCCTCGAGGGGGTGCAGTGTAGATTCACTCGGTTAGTTCCTGGGATGAGGGGACTGACCTATGAGGATAGGCTGAATAAACTGGGGCTGTATTCTCTAGAGTACAGAAGAATTAGGGAGATCTTATTGAAACATATAAGATTCTTAAAGGGCTGAATAAAGTAGACACTGAGGGTCTGTTTCCCCGGTGGGAGAATCTATAACCAGGGGTCACAGTCTGAAAATTAAGGGTCAGCCTTTTAGAACAGAGTTGAGGAAACATTTCTTCACTCAGAGGGTAGTGAATTTATGGAATTCACTCCTCCAGAAGGCTGTAGATGCTCAGTTCTTGAACATTTTCAAGGCTGAGACTGATAATTTTTAAAAAAATAGAGGGATTAGGGGATATGGGGATAGGGCAGGTAATCAGAGTTAGGTCTGAAGAACAGCCATGATCTTATGGAATGGCGGGGCACAGGCTCGAGGGGCCGAATGGCCTACTCCTGCTCCTAATTCTTATGCGCTTATGTTCTTAATAATCCTTGCATTTGATACGGCGCCTTATCACGTCTTCGAGACGTCTCAAAGCGCTTCACAGAATGTACTGTAAAGTGACTGTATATTTTGTGGGTGAAACACGGCAGCCAATTGCGCACAGCAGCATCCCACAGACAGTCGTGGATTCAGTGACCAAATTATTATTATTTTATTTTTGAAAGGATTATTAACCCCAGAAAAGTGATCCGCCAATCGACTACCAACCGGGTTCCGGCTTATTGCTGGGTAAACAGAGGCGCGTGTGTGGAGTAAGGAAACTTGCCCAATGTTTTACTATAATAGCTTAAAACATTAGCAATTACCAAAGGCTGTGGCAATATGCTGTTGGACCACAAATCTAAAGAACTATACGGAAACCTAATCCTGAAAGAGCGTGCCGCCCTCCAGGTCGCTGCTGGGTTGGATATTGCTGGGTGGATATTGAGGCTACAACAAGAATTTTTGGCTTGTAAAATAGAAACTACTGGAGGCAGCATTCCTGAACACTAATAACAAAGTAGTGAAAAGAAACGACAACAATTTGCATTTATATCGGAAGCAACCCATAGCGCATGACAGTGGCGGAATCTGACTCCGAGCCAGGGGGAAAGGGAGGGGGGGAGGTGACCGTGAGCACCATCAAAAAAGGTCTTTAGGTGGGATTTGAAGGTGGGGAGGGGGGGGCAAGGCGGAGGGATTGAGGGCGAGAGTTCCAGAGTTTCAGGGTGTAGTGGCTGAAGGCATGGCCACTGATGGTGGAGCGGAGGGGACGAGGGACAAACAGGAGGCCGGTGCTGGCCCGAGTGAAAACAAACTCATATCATATATTATAATATAATAGATCATATCAGAAGCTTACCATTAATGTTAGCTAATGCAGTATTATCCAAAAAGGCAACATCACCTCGCCCCTGTTCCAAGCAACTGCAAAGAAACAACAACAAGAACATGACATTTATAGAGCGCCTTTCACGTCGGGAGGATGTCCCAAAGCGCTGAACAGTCAGGTGTTGGGGCCCGAGCATGGGGGAGGGGTGGGGTAGGGGTGGGGGAAGGCAGAGAGGTGGGAGGGAGACCAAAGGCACAGTCAAAGAGGAGGGTCTTGAGACCGGCCTTGAAGGAGGCGAGGGAGGAAGCGAGGCCAAGGGACCGTGGGATGGAGTTCCAGAGTGTGGGGGCAGAGAGGCTGAAAGCTCGGCCACCGATGGTAGGGCGGGTCGGGCGGGAGACATGGAGCAGCCGGAGCCCACTGGCCTTAATGGTGAAAATATTACAAATTGCATTAATATATTGTTTAAAATATGTAAAATGTTTGCAAAGTTCCTGTTCTTTTGATTTTACCCTCATTTTATAATAATAATCCTTGTTTTTTCATACAGGGACCTATGAAAGATAATTGTTAGTGTAATGGATCTGAATCTGTAGGCACACTTTTTAGCAGCAAGTTTCGCACAAACTGCTGCGAAGTGATCAATTTATGGAGCCGGACAAATTTACAGCACAAGCTGGCTCTTTGAAACAGCGGGTCACTCTGTGCCATTTACCTGCCTTTTCACCCCAAAACCCTTCAAATCACTCCTCTTCAGATATCTACAATCGGAAGCATTTTGGCTAGTTCACTGTAAGAAACACGATAGGAATATGGGATGGGATCTTAACAGTGTCCCTAAACAGTAGACAGGAGTTTGGTTTAACACCTCATCTGAAGAATACTATCCCCAATACTGGCCTGGATGTTAGCCTGGTCTATGAATCAAGTCCTGATATGAGGACTGAACCCACAACTTTCTAACCCAAAGGCATCAGCTGCTAATCTGGTAGAACATAAGAATTTGCTGGCGAAAGAAGACCGAGGTCCATCTAGTTCCCCTTCCACCATCCTGGCAGTCGCTTGACATGTCATGTCCCAAACTATATACTGTTTCCCCAGATATTATTTTCTAACAGAAATCGATCTCATTTGTTCTTGAAACAAACTACATTTTCTGCTTCCACCGTCTGTCTCCCTGGGAGCCTGTTCCATATGTATACTACTCGCTCACTGAAGTAGTGTTTCCACAGATATGTTCTGAATTTACCCCCTTCAATCACAGGCCGTGTCCTCTATTCAGTACAAAATAAAACAGCTTCTCAATATTGTTGAAGTCGAGCTCTGTAAATGTCTTTGTTCAAGCACAGAATTCAGATGTTCACCTCCCAGTTATGTACATTGCCTCCAATTAGAAACGGGGAATTTAAAAAATAAATTGTACCAATTGCACACAGCAGTGTCCCACCCACAGTCGTGTATTGAATGATCAAATTATTATTAGTATTTTATTATTATTATTATTCCCGGAAAAGTGATTTAAACCTGGTTCCTACTTACTGCTAAGTAAACAGGTGTGTGTGGAGTAAGGAAACTTGCAGAATCAGCAAAGTTGTAGCGTTTATGTCTAAGTGTGACATATATTATGAGATAGTTGGTATAACTTTAGATAAATTGCTATGAGAAAATGATAGCACGTTTTCTTGAAGTGTTTTTTTTGGTGAGCCGTGTGTCTGACACACGCGGAAACCCATCATAGTGCTTAAGAGTCTCCAAACCAAGCTGTGAATTCCATGTATCCCACACCTGCACACGGCAATCCCAAGGATAGATTGTTGAGATGAAATGCGCTCTCTCTCTCTCTCTCTCTCTCTTGCTGGAGGGATGCCTCCTGATTATCTAATTCTAGACAGTATTAGGCGCAAGTTGGCAAGTGTTGGGGTAACTGCTGGAGTCTAAACAGCTAAACACACATCTCTTGCCATTGATATTGCTGTCTGGACAGCTTCCCCACTGCTTGTCCAGCTGGGACCACCCTCCCCATAGGGCTATGGCTTGTAGGGTTAACAGGAGCTGAAGGGGAGGATTCCCTGCCCCCAGTGCCTGGTCGGCCCTTCCAAAGTCGTGCTGATGAGTCAGAAATAAGAACTGTGTTTATTTTGTTGTTGTGATTACAGCTGTAGCTTTCTCATTAGTTGTTGGTGTAACTGGATTGTTTTAATCAAAATCAGCTCATGGGTCTCAAAGGCGGTCATGCCTTGTTTAAACCAACTGCTAAACAGCTGTCAGGTGGTGAGGACACAGAGATTTGCACGGACCATCCTGATAATAATAATAATGCATTTGATTTAGTGCTTCACAGAATATACTGTCATCTGACTCGACTGTATATTTTGTGGGCGAAACGTAGCAGCCAATTCAGCAGCGTCCCACAAACAGTCGTGCATTGAGTGACCAATTTATTATTTCTTTTATCTTTTGGACGGAATTACGATGTTTAACAAGAAGGACAATTATAAAATAGTTATAGCTGAGCTATGCTTCGTTCAGTCGGAATTGGTCATCATGGTAATGGTTGAGGACTGAGGTGGTTTTGATTGTCCCACTGATTCCAGGTATACCGGAAAGAAAGTAAAACAGAAGAAAAAACAATTATGTAAGAATACAGCTGAAACACAACCCCTAAAGACAAGGGCTTTCGATTCATTAATTTGATGCTCGTGATTATCATTTTTTTTACAGACAACGCTCGTTAGTCCAAGTTCATTCGAGTTCAGGAAAAACAAGCAGCAAGAGATCTTGAAGCTTATGAATCTTGTGAATTTATGGACAATTTATGAGCTTTGATATTGGCATTACAGTAACATTGCTATAGATATGGGAGCATAACAACGAATATTGTTGGTGGTAACCCTGCCTATTGTTATTAAACTAATCCAACTTTCCTGCCTTATTAAGGAGAGGAGCTTTAAAATATCAATTACAGACAGGTTTGGTTCCTCTGCTACAAATCACAATATGTAAATTCCAGCAAATCTGGTTTCAACAGATTCGCGACCACATCACTCCCACCCTCGCCCTCGCTCGCCTCCACTGGCTCCCCATTCCCCAGAGGATCGAATTCAAGATCCTCATCCTCACCTACAAGGCCATTCACGGCCTCGCTCCCTCCTACCTCTCTGACCTACTATCCCCTACTTACCTGCCCGTACCCTCCGTTCCTCTGGCTCCAGTCTGCTCCACATCCCCCGCCCCAACCGCCCTACCATCGGTGGCCGGGCCTTCAGCCTCTCAGCCCCGAGGCTCTGGAACTCCATCCCCCAGTACCTTCGCCGACTCCTCCCTTTCCTCCTTCAAGGCCGGTCTCAAGACCTTTCTCTTCAATCGTGCCTTCAGCTCCCCTCTCGACTCTCTACCCCCTCCTCGCTCCCTCCCTTCCCTCCCCTCACCCTGACCATTTCCCTCCTGCTCGGGTCCCGACCCAACTGTCCAGTGCCTTGGGACGTCCTCCCGACATGAAAAGCACTCTATAAATGCAATCTTGTTGGTGTTGTTGTTCAACAGAGTAGTTAACACAACAACAAATTACATTTGGATAACGTTTTTCACATCCCAAGCCGCTGGACAGTCAAACACCACTACCAACTAACACCACTGCCAACTAACACCACTGCCAACTAACACCACTACCAACTAACATCACTGCCAACTAACACCACTACCAACTAACACCACTACCAACTAACACCACTGCCAACTAACACCACTACCAACTAACACCACTGCCAACTAACACCACTGCCAACTAACACCACTGCCAACTAACACCACTACCAACTAACACCACTACCAACTAACACCACTACCAACTAACACCACTATCAACTAACACCACTGCCAACTAACACCACTACCAACTAACACCACTGCCAACTAACACCACTACCAACTAACACCACTACCAACTAACACCACTGCCAACTAACACCACTACCAACTAACACCACTACCAACAATACTTTCAAACCCAACAGGTGGGTGTGATATTGTTTAGCAAGTGCCTATATCACCTGGAGTTTAGAGTTCAGCAGATCTAGTTTGCAAAAACACTGGATTTGTCTACGCTAGGCTATTACAGAAATGATAACTGTTACATACATCCCTTCGCAAAAAAACACGTTGGGCAAGTTTCCTTACTTCACACGCCTCTGGTTACCAGCAGTAAGTAGGAACCCGGTTGGTAGTCAATGAGTGTATCGCTTTTCTGGGCGTAATAATCCCTTCAAAAAAACTAAAATAATAATTATTTGGTCACTCAATCCATGAGTGTTTGAAGGACACTGCTGTGCGCAATTGGCTGCCGCATTTCATCAACAAATATACAGTCAATTCAGTTTATTCTGTGAAGCACTTTGAGATGTCGCAAAGACATGATAAGGCGCGATATCAAATGCAAGGATTATTATTTTTGTTAGCAATGGGAACGTGAGTCTCATCGATGCCGTTTGAACACTTTACCTGAATGCACCTTCAGAGCCATAGTACGGCTCATTATCAGTTGTTTCACAGAAATAATTCCGGTCTCTGATGTAGGATTTCTGCCCCTGGCAGAGGCTGCAAAGGTTGGGGAAGGTGATTCCCACACCTGGAGCACAGGATGCCGTGAAGAACTTACTGATAGCTGTGAAAAAAGAAAAGGCCATTTATGCCATGTGCGATCTAGATTGTGACCTGTGATTGAAGAAAGCAGATGAATCTTGTGCTATAGTTTAAGCATACAATATAAAATACAGGGTGACCAAAAAGTCGTCTCATAAGCCTGAAAGAAATGGTGATTTTTTTTAGACAATAGGGTAGTTATCACGACTGAAGATACTGCTTTTCGGAAGGTATATTCCTACCCTTTTAGGTTTTTTTTATTCATGCCTAACTATAAACTGGATTAAGACCCTCCAAAAGTATTTTGCTTAGGTCTCTTAAGTTCAATCTGTTGTGTAAATGCTTTAGGAAGTAAATGGAGAACATTAATGGATTCATATTATTATTGAAATAAAATTCAAATAATTGTATTTGTTATTGTGCATATAAATATCACCTGAATAGTGTAAGAATTGGAAGGGAAGCACATTGGCAATGTTTGCGTTACTCCTAGCCAACAGATGAACTCATTTAATAACTGACTCTGGCAACAAAAATTCTTCAGAGATGCACTCAATATGTGTTTTCTATTGAAAGGTTTTAAAAAACATACAATAATATCCTCGCATTTGATAAAGCGCCTTATCGCATCGTCGAGGCATCTCAAAGCGCTTCACAGAATATACTTAAAGTGTAGCGACTGTATATTTTGTGGGTGAAACGCGGCAGCCAATTGCGCACAGCAGCGTCCCACAAGCAGTCGTGGATTGAAGTGACCAATTTATTAATTATGCTATTGGCTTCTTGATCAGACCACAGCTAGCATATTGTGTGTGACACAGAGTGCCGCACAATACAAAAGATATGTGAGCTATGGAGAGGAGATTAACAAGGATGATACCAGAGGTTCAGCTATGAGGCTAGGATTCTCTCGTCGAAGCAAAGTAAGTGGAGGTTGTTTAAGGAAATAAAAAGGTTTTGCGGAGATAAGTACTGAGGAACTATTTGTGGGCAAAAAGGCATGAATTTTGGATTATATTAAAGAATGTGAAAGGGGAAAGTTAGGATAAAACAATCTCCTGGAGGATTATAAGAGTTTGGAATTACTAATATTATTCCTGCGTCTGTCCCTTTTAAACCTCAATTTATACTATTTGTATTTATTTTGACATTCAGAAGAGTATTAAGTCGGCACAAGCGGAGGAAGGATCCATGAGTGAGTAATGGGAAAGAGCAGGGAATTGGGGTTAGGATAAATGGCTGCATTGGAGCAGCACTGATTAGGCCATTGTATCAGTGTCAACTGACCCTGAAACAGTGGCTGAAAGTTCTGCTATTTTGCAGATTTCTATGCTTTCTGGTTCTTCCGCATCGACTGAAACCATAACATTCGCTGGCATGCAAACTAATCAATAATTACAGAACTCTTGAGTGCAAAATTTTCCCCACATAATATCGAGTGGTATTGTTTATTCAGGGTGACCAAAAGTCGTGATGACTACCCTATTATCTAAAATAAACATCAGACATGGTAATGGCGTGACGACTGTGGGGTCACCCTGTACATACAAACTACAACACAGTTCAAATTTACGTTTATAAAGCGCCTTTGACATTGGCGCTTAAAGGAGCTTAACTGATTACTCAACACTTGCAGGGACATGCCCTTTGGTTTAGTCCTTTTGGAATAATTTCGAGCATTTCAATTGAACTGAAATCCTTTCACCGTGCACTTGGCTCCTAATAGCTCCTTGGGCTTCCAACGCTGCTGCTCTATCTAACAAATACCGTTGACTCTTGTCAATCTCCAGTTTTCTGACTCAGTATCAAAAAGATTAATTCATCAAATCCTAGGATCAGCAACTGGTTTTACCTTCGGTGACAGTCTGGTTCTCATGCCAGGGAAGGTAATTCCGGGATAGTAGGAAACCCAGAGGAATATTCCAGCCTGCTGTTCGTCTGGCACCATTGTGACAGCTTCTTTTACCCCTCAGCCGTCTGATATCCAGGCTTTCATCTCGCACTATTGCCACAGAATATAAGCAGCCACCTGGCACACAGAATGAAAGGAAGATGGTTGCACATTGCAGAAAGAATTATTAATTAAAGCTGCCAGTTATTCTTGGAGAGAGCAGAGGAAACTGACACATCTCAGCCACGGAAGATTAAATATTTTCCCTTGTTTTTCGACTCAGTATTAACTTCAAAAATTCCCAGCTGAGAATAAATAGCAATAATAATCTTGCATTTGATATAGCACCTCATCACATGTTCGAGACGTCTCAAAGCACTTCACAGAATATAGTGTAAAGCGTAGTGACCATATATTTTGTGAGTGCACAATTGCGCACGGCAGTGTCCCATAAACACTGGATTTTGTGACCAAATCATTATTTTTTTAAGAGATTATTACCCCCAGAAAAGCAAACCCAGTCAACTAACAATCAAGTTCCTACTTACTTCTCGGTAAACAGAGTGGTGTAAGGAAATTTGCCCAACATTTCGCCCTGCCCGGGAATCAAACCCAGGTCCTCTCGCTTGTGAGGGGAGCCTCCGCTCTAACCACTGAGCTACAGGACTCCACATCCTGTCTCTATTGAAATGTCACTATTAACCAATCAACGTTAACAAGGTTATCAATAAACTCTCTCGCCTCCTTCAAAGGACGACTCAAGACCCTCCTTTTTGACAGTGCCTTCAGCCACCCTCTGCCCTCCCTCATCCCAACCCTGACCCCAACCCCCCAGGCTCGGGTACTGATCCCTGTCCAGTGCCTTGGGACATCCTCCCAACGTTAAAGGCGCTTTACAAATGTCATTGTTGTTGTTGTATGAACTCTTCCCCACTTCAGTACACAGTACAAGTTCTGCACAGAACTCACCCTCTTGATATAGTTCTTTTGCTACAACAGTGAGATCATAAAGCTTCGTAGCAGTGTAGACATCTCCAGCATCAAGTGAAATAGCATCGGCCTTGTTTGCCTAGAAAACAAAATAACTATTTTTAGGTAATTATAAGTTTATAGATTACTTTTATGGAGTCCTGCAGCTCAGTGGTTAGAGCACTCGCTTTGCAAGTGAGAGACCTGGGTTCAATTCCAGCAGAGGGCGAAACCTTGGGCAAGTTTCCTTACTCCACACAGAGCCTAATAATAATCCCTCCAAAACCAAACAATAATAAATTGGTCATTTTCAATCCACGACTGTTTGTGGGACATTGCTGTGCGCAATTGGCTGCCGCGTTCGCCCACAAATATACAGTCAATTCACTTTACAGTGTGTTCTGTGAAGCGCTTTGGGATGTCCTCCCGACGTGAAAAGCGCTATATCAAATGCAAGGATTATTATTATTACTTTTAGATGGAAACGTGCACTGGATACTAGGAAGTGTTTTAATTTTCAAACCAAAGTTTCATCACCATAATAATAAATAATCCTTGCATTAGATACAGTGCCTTATCACTTGTTAAAGACATCTCAAAGCGCTCCACAGGATATACTGTAAAGTGAATTGACTCTATTTTGTGGGTGAAACACGGCAGCCAATTGCACACAGCAGTGTCCCACAAACAGTCGTGAGTGACGACATTATTATTATTATTATTTCTTTTTGAAGGGATTATTACCCCCAGAAAAATGATCCGCCAATTGATTAACAACTGGGTTCCTACTTACTGCTCGGTAAACAGAGGTGTGTGGAGTAAGGAAACTTGCCCAACGTTTTACTAATGATGAGGTTTTACTTACCCTTATTTTTTTGATGCAGTCCTTTGTATTGTAGGCTTTTATACAAGATAGTTTTATGAATGAGTTCTTTGATGTGGGAGGAAACACTGCTTGCAGGGCCTTGGAGAGCTCAGCACATTTTCTTTGCTCTGTGTTGGATAAGTTGCACCACCTAAATTTCTTCGCTGACACCTGAAGGACTGACTCTGTACAGAAATACAACAACTCGTATTTATAGGGCATCCTTTACATAAAACACAATGTCTCAAAGACCTTTACCAAATAAAATTGATTAGAAATGAAGTGAATGCTCGGTAGGCAAACAAGGCAGTCACTCTGTATCAGGAAAGTCCCATCAGGATTCCTGTAGCTCGGTAGTTAGAGCACTCGCCTCGCAAGCAAGAGGACCTGGGCTTGGTTCCCAGGCAGACCGAAATGTTGGCTGCCACTTTTCGTCCACAAAATTTACAGTCAATTCACTTTACAGTACATTCTGTGAAGCGCTTTGAGACGTCTCAAAGACGTGATAAGGCGCTGTATCAAATGCAAGGATTATTATTATCATTCAGGCAAATGACTCACACAGTCAGAAAACAGACTGTAATGTAATGTAAGACTGTACAGGCAGGAGTTGAAGAATATCACAAGATTGCAGAACTTTGTTAAGAAGAGTTTAATGTTATCGATGTGATAACATATGCACTAGAAATGCACACCAGTTTTTGTATTTACTTTCATAAATATACACAGGTGAGTTTGTCAGGTAACAGTTTTTGAACACTCAGAATAGTGCCGATACTATAGTACTATAGTACGTACCTACTAGCATTTTACCTCAAAATATAGTGACTCCACTCTACAATATATTTTGTGAAGTGCTTTGAGACATCCCAATGACATGATAAGGCGCTATATCAGATAATAATCTTATAATAATCCTTGCATTTGATGCAATTGACTAACAACCTAGTTCCTACTTACTGCTAGGTAAACAGAGGCGAGTAAGGAAACTTGCCCAAAGTTTTGCCCTGCCTGGGAATCAAGCCCAGGTATCTCGCTTGCAAGGTGAGTACTCTAACCACTGAGCTGCAGGACTCCACAAATGCAAGGATTATTATTATTATTATTATTATTATTGTTACCTCGGTGGAACAAGTTGCCAATGCCTTTCAAGCAAAAAACATTCGTTGATAGGAATAAAGTTGACATGACTTACCCCAAGCAATAAAAATCAAATACATTGATATAATTATTTCTTTCATGGTAGGAGCAAGGAGCAGAGTCCGTCTCCAGGTCTCAGAGCAATTCCCGTGCCTTCCCACAGAAACAACCAGAGAGCTCAACACTCCGTGCGGTTAACAATTCAGAATGAGAATTGCATGCGTTCCCAACCAGGAAACCGAGGCTGTCCAGGCAACACCTGAAAGTTACTGCATCTAATACAAAACTTCTGCACCAAGGAAAACGAAAGAGAAAAGTTACACGTATGTTTTTGGTAACTGGATTATAAATCGTCACGTGGAAACTGTTAGCCTTCTTTTTATTGTAACCAGATTGGAGGTTTGGAGCTGAAATAGATTGCGCTGGCAGTCAGTCATCCAGTCAACAGTGGCACAGCAGTCTGCGGAATTGTTAACTTTTTGATGGCCTTTTCGCACTTAATATTTCTAAAAATTGCAATATTTTATATTTTCACACTATATTTAATAATATTAATAATTAATTAATTAAGTTTTGGAGGGATTAATAATAATCCCTCCAAAACCAAAAACAATAATAAATTGGTCATTTTCAATCCACGACTGTTTGTGGGACATTGCTGTGCGCAATTGGCTGCCGCGTTCGCCCACAAATATACAGTCAATTCACTTTACAGTGTGTTCTGTGAAGTGCTTTGGGACGTCCTCCCGACGTGAAAAGCGCTATATCAAATGCAAGGATTATTATTATTATTATTATATATATTTACACTCTACACTGGAGTCCTGTAGCTCAGTGGTTAGAGCACTCACCTCGCAAGTGAGAGACCTGGGTTCGATTCCCGGCAGGGAAACCTTGGGCAAGTTTCCTTACTCCACACACCTGATAATAATCCCTCAAGAAAAAGAAAAAAAAATAATAATTTGGTCATTCAATCCACGACTGTTTGTGGGACGCTGCTGTGTGTAATTGGCTGCCGTGTTTTGCCCACAAAATACACAGTCAATTCACTTTACAGTATATTCTGTGAAGCGCTTTGAGACATCTCGAAGATGTGAAAAGTGCTATATCAAAGGATTATTATTATAATTATTATTATACACAGTATAGAATTGTTAGGGTCTGGAATGCACTGCCTGAAAGGTGGAATCTGAATCAATAACTTTCTAAAAGGAACTGGATAAGTACTTGAAGAGAAAACATTTGCAAGGATGTGGGGAAAGAGCGGGGAAGTGGGTCGCTTTTCCAAAAATGGGCTGAATGGCCTCCTTCTGTGCTATAATGTTCTACGATCCTATGATATTCAGAGCTGCTGTGAATGTGCAGGTCAGCGAGCTGGTATAACACTGATTCTTAACGCTTTGTCGACCCCTGTTCATGTAGAATTTAAGGAGCAAATTATTTCCTAGTCACTTACATAAAATCCATCCTGTTTTATAGAACCAATAACTTGGAGGTGGAATGTGACATGACGCACACTAATGTTATTTGGAACCTGCTGGATGCTGGTAACACGCCAATACATGGATGTCCATAGACTGTACATCAGGGGAAACAGGCCATTCAGCCCCACTAGTCCATGCTTTACAGTCTCCATTCACTCCTTACCCCAATTGCGCTGGTACAATGTTTAAGGTGTGCTGCTCAAGCCTTTGGAACTCTGTCCCACAGTCCCTTTGCCTCCCTCCCTCCCTCCCTCTCTCCCTCGCCTCCTTCATGGCAAGTCTCAAGACCCTCCTCTCCAACCGTGCCTTTGAACACCCTCCGTACCCTCCACCCTCCTGATCCCAACCAACCCCCAGCTTGGGTCCAAATCCCTGACTGTCCAGCATCTTGGGACGTCCTCCCGACGTGAAAGCCGTCATGTGCGCAAATATCATTTGTGGTTGTTGAAGCCCCCGCTCCACACGCTGTCACCCCTTCCCCCCAGCCCCCCTCTATGATCTCTGCCATTGGTCAGAGGCTGGTAATAAATGATTTATCTGAGGGCTGTCTCGGGGGGATGTCTGCGGTGTGTCTGCGGGGTGTGTCTTGGGGGGAGGTGTCTGGGGGGGTGTCTGGAGGGAGGTGTCTGGTGGAGGGTGTCTGAGAAGGGGGGTCTGGGTTGGGGTCTGGAGGGGTCGTCTGGCAGGGTGTCTGGGGGGAGGTGTCTGGGGGTAGGGTCTGGAGGGAGATGTCTGTGGGGGGTATCTGGTGTCTGGGGGGGTGGGGTTTGGGGGAGGGATGGGGAGATGTCTGGGGGGAGGTATCTGGGAAGGTGTCTGGGGGAAGTGTCTGTTGGGGGGTGTCTGTGGGGTGGGGTCTGGAGGGGGTGTCTGGGGGAAGGTGTCTGGATGGGTGTCTGGGAAGGTGTCTGGGGGCAGTGCCTGGGGGCGGTTGATATCTGGGGCAAGTGTCTGGGGGCAGTGTCTGGGGGGGGTGTTTGGGGGCGGTTGGTATCTAGGGGGTGTCTGGGGGTTGTGTCTAGGGGGTTGTCTGATTGGGTGTCTAGTGTGGGGGTGTCTGGGGGCAGTGTGTCTAGGGAGGTGTCTAGGGAGGTGTCTGGAGTGGGGGGGGGTGAGGATTTGAGGAAAGGTGAGGAGTTGCTGGGGGAGGGGGTTGCGCCCAGTGTCAGTCCGTGACGGAGCCCTGGGTGAGGCTGTTCCCCTTCTCCTCACTGCTGTCGAGTGGCTGCCGTTAGCTCCTGGATTTGCTCTCACTGCCCCCAACTCACACCACAATCCCAGCCCTCATTCACCCCATCTGCCATGGGCACTGGGAGCGGCCAGGGGCAACCAGAGACTGCCACCCCCACTCCCCACCTCCTGCACCTCCCACCCCCCCGCACCTGTAGCTCCCCACCTCCTGCACCTCCCACCCCCCGCACCTGTAGCTCCCCACCTCCCGAGGATAGCTATTTGTTAGGTCAGGATATCGAGGGAAGCAGGCAAAGGCGGGTAATTGGAGTTGAGGTACAGATCAGTCATGATCTTATAGAAAGGCGAAACAGGCTCCAGGGCTGAATGGCCTTCTCCTGTTTCTAGGTTTCTATATTTCTATACCTTCCTCCCCCACATACCCTCTATTCGGCCTGCGATTCAAGGGGGTAAATTCAGAATAAATCTGCAGAAACACTACTTCAATGAGCGAACTTACTAGAGAGACAGACGGCGGAAGCAGAAAATATTGTTTGTTTCAAGACCAAATGAGATCGATTTCTGCTGGAAAATAATATCTGGGGAAACCGTATATAGTTTGGGACACGATATGTCAAGCGACTGCCAGGATGGTGGAAGGGGAACTAGATGGGCCTCGGTCTTCTTCTGCCAACAAATTCCTGTCTCTCTCATCTGAAGGTCAAGCTTTATCATAATTGCACCTGATTCAACCACTACTTTGGGCAGCGAGATCCACATTCTCACTGCCCTCTGTGTGAAGTAAATTCTAACCAAACTTTCTTTTACATCCATCCCCTTGTCACTAGCTTATACTTGTGTCCCCTAGTTAGGATTCCCCAAAAGTGGGAACAGCCTAATGTGCTAATCTGGTCAAACCCCTTTAAGAATTTGAACATCTCTATTAGGTTCCCAATGTTCTCTAGAGAAAAAAGTTCCAACCTATGCAGCCTATCCTGATAGCAGCCCTGGTATATCATCTTCGTAAACTTATTATAATAATAATAATTATCCTTGTATTTGATATAGTGCTTTTCACGTCTTTGAGACATCTCAAAGCGCTTCACAGGATATACTGTAAAGTGAATTGACCGTATGTTTTGTGGGCGAAACGTATTTTTATACTGTATTTTTTTCCCATCATCCTTCTTGCAGTTTGACAACCAGAATTGGACACAGTACTCAGTGTGTTCTAACCAGGGTTTTATAGAAATAACCAGGTTTTTCCCTTATCTCGATGTTGCCTGCATCTTGTTTGGCAGGTAAAATGGTTGACAGTTTGACAACTTTGTGCTTGATTTCTCACCTAAATAATAATAGTAATCCGTGTATTTGATCTAGTGGCTTTCATGTCAGGAGGACATCTCAAAGTGCTTGACAGGATTTTACTGTAAACTGTAATTTTATTGCCAAACGCAGCAGCCAATTTGTACATAGCAATGTCCCCCAAACAGCCATCATGTGAGTGACCAATTTTATCTCGGGGATTGTTGACCAGGATACAAGGAGAGAGAAACTCCCTTCACTTTTCAACAAGCGCCATGGGATCTTCAAGGTCCACCTGAACAAGCAGATGGGTTTAATGTCTCATCCGAAGAATACGATGAAAAGCCACTCGAGTAAGATAACAGAAGTCGGCTGTTGCAACTACATCAACACGTCATTGCTTTGAAAACAGAAGAGGAGAAAATTGGAAATCAACAAAATGTTCGTCGAAAAGAAATACTTTAAATAACAGAGAATGCATGTCCCAGCATCCTGGGCAAGAAGTGTAGGCTATATCTGTAATATAATTGGTATAATCTTTACATTTGGTATAGCATCTTTCACGTCAGGAGGAATGTCTCAAAGCTCTTTACGGGAATAGATTGTAAAGTTGAGTGACTATGTGTTTTGAAAGTCAGTTTTTGAAAGAACTGCAGAAAAATCACCTTCAAAATGAAGACTGAATGGAAGAGTTTTGCAAAGTTTCTCACAATCTTAAACCTTAAGGGGAAATTGTCTCAGGTTGAGGGTACGGTGAAGTCTCAGGGCTTGTGTGCTGAAGCCAATGTGTGGAAATTCACATCCAGCGTCAAAGATTAATGGGAATTCAGCATCTGGTCGCAGATGTTACAATGCTGTTAATTCTAAACTCTTAAGCATTCCTGATCCAAACAAGGAATTCCAATGCACCAGATCACATCCCATTGCCGGTTACTCCTGAGCCAGATGACTTGTGTAATCCTCATCCAAGAAAAACATTTTTCCCATTCTAATTAGACTCGGCACCAGTTTGCCCAGAGAAATCTGTTGAAGGTTTAAGTGAACATGTGTCTGAGATGCTCGTTAATCTAATTTCTGGAGCTGGATTATAAATGCTGCCAATTTTTGGGGGCTGATGAAATGGAATCAGTAATGGAAGAGAAACCGCGATTAATATTTCCGAC